CTCCCGGTGTTTTCTTGCGGGAAACGGGTCCAAATGGCTCTTTGAGTGTTTAAGGTTGCAGACCCCTGGGTTAGGCTCATGTTCAAAGTGGGTTCTGAGCTCATAAACTGGACTTTTCTCAACTCTTAAATCTTTCCCAGCCACAGAGCTGCGTGGTGGGGCTTTCTCCACCGGTTTAATCCAGGCCTCTTGATCCATTGGATTGTGCCATTCCCAAACTGTCTCTCGGCTTGGCGTTTTACCGACTGCAAACATCACGCAAGCTTTGGTACAGGTAGTCCTCAACTTACGACCACAACTGAGCCCGAAATTTATCGTTGCTAAGCGATAAATTTGCTACGTGAGTTTTTGCCCCATTTTGCCACTTTTCTTGCCGCATTTGTCTAATGAATCACGGCCGCTGTTAAATTAGTAGCCACGGTCGTTAAGTGGATCTGATTCCCCCCATTGACCTTGCTTGTCAGAAGGTCGCCGATAGGGGATCTCGTGACTCGGCAACCGTCATAAATGTAAGTCAAGCATGCGAATGTAAATCACGCGACCACGGGGGTGCCGCAGTGGTCGTAAGTGTGAAAAATGGTCGCAAGTGACTTTTTTCAGTGCCGTTGTAACTTCAAACAGTCACTAAGCGAATTGTTTTTTAAATTTTTTTTTATTATTATTTTAAACAAAACAAAACAACCATCATCCATTACAATTGCAGAAAGTGTGTCGATCGGTTACAAATCTTTTGTGCTTCCTCTCATATAATTTACTAATTACCTGGTTTCTCATATTTATCAATCTAATATATCTCTTTATATTATTATTCTCATTTATCATTTATTTAACAATGGCATTTTCATCCCATAAGGGTCCCTTTCATGTGTTATATTATTATATTTATTTCATATTTCATTTCCATGCTTTATTATCTAGCCATTAATAAAATAAATCCCATATCATAGAATATTGCTTATCTTCCTGTTCTCTGATTTTAAATGTCAATTTACTCATTTCAGCACATTCCATAATTTTCTTAATAACTTCATCTTCCATAGGTATTTCCTCCTTTTTCCAATTTTTGGCAAATACAATTCTAGCCGCTGTTAATACATTCACATTCAAATATCTCAGTTCTCTATTGTATATTTCTGGCAAAATCCCTAATAAGTCACTAAGTGAGTTGTTGTAAATCTGTGACGCATGTAACACACCAATATGAGCATAAATAAATCACAGGCGTGATCATGCTTAGCTAGGCAGACTGAACCTCGAAAAAGCGAAATAGGATGGGTCCCGGTGAGTATTTGCACTGTTGATATTTCAGGTTGCGGAGGTAAAGTTGAAAAGTCAAAAAAGCAAGAAGACAGACGGCAAATAAATATCGTTGCAAGTCGCAAACATAAATGGTATCACCAATGTCCCCCATCTAGTTGCTAGGAGCTGAATTTGACCCGAGGGAGTGTTAAATCTTTATTTAGGATTTGCTTTTTTTAATGTCAGAAAAGCGGATAGACAGCTCAATAGATATAGAGACTATATCTCGGCGTCCTTTCAGAGATATTTCCTTCCCTACACAGAAATACTTCCCCTAAGCAGTGAGAGTAACTTCCGACTTCCCGCTGGCTTCCCCATTGATTTTTCTTGCGGGAATCTGGCAGGGAGCAGATCTCCCCATCCCATCTGGCAGGTAAGTGGCTGCTGCTGGGAGGAGACGCTGTCACAGAAAGGTAGCCTTTGACCTTCCTTTCATTTAGTGACCATCCAAAGTTATAACGGCATTGAAAAAAAGCGATTTATGACCATTTTTCACACTTAACAACCATCGCAGCATCCCCATGGTCACGCGATTTTACATTTGGATGCCTGACAACTGGTTTGTATTTATGACGGCCGCCGTATCCTGGGGGGGGGGTCACGTCATCCCCTGTTGCGACCTTCTGACAAGGCAAAAGTCAACGGGGAAGCCAGATTCGCTTAACAACCGCGTTATTAACAATCGCAGCGATTCACTTAGCAACCGTGGCAAGCCAGGTGGTAAAACGGGGCGAAGCTGACTTAACAACCGTCTCGCTTAGCGAACAGAAGTGGTGGGCTCAATTGTGGTCATACGTCGAGGGCTACCTGTATACAGATAGATCAGTGGTGAAATCTAAAAGTTATTCCTACAGGGTCTGTGGGTGTGGCTTGGTGGGGATCATGTGATGGGGTAGGTGTGGCTATGTAGTCATGTGACGGCGGGGTCAAAAGAAACTCACTTTAACAATGTCCAGCCCTGAATTGCTGCGCTCTTTCAAAGTATCCTATGGAGCTGCGTCTAGTGCCAGGTTTGCGGTCTGTCCTTCTTCTCCTTTTCCTCCCTCCCTCCCTCTCTTTCTTTCTCCTTTCTTTTCTTTCCTTTTTTCTTTCTTTCTTTCTTTTTCTTTCTTTCTCTTTTTCTGTCTCCTTTCTATCTTTCTCTCTCTTTCTTTTTCTGTCTCCTCCTCCCTCTTTTTTTTTTTCTTTCTTTCTTTCTTTCTTTCTTTCTTTCTTTCTTTCTTTCTTTCTTTCTTTCTTTCTTTCTTTCTTTCTCTCTTTTCTGTCTCTTTTCTTTCTATCTTTCTTTCTCTCTTTCTCTCTTTCTTTTTCTGTCTCTCCTCCCTCCCTCCCTCTCTTTCCTTTCTTTCTTTCTTTTTCTTTTTTTCTTTTTTTCTCTTTTTCTGTCTCCTTTCTTTCCATCTTTCTCTCTCTTTCTTTTTCTGTCTCCTCCTCCCTCCCTCCCTCTTTCTCTTCTTTCTTTCTTTCTTTCTTTCTTTCTTTTTCTTTTTCTTTCTTTCTCTTTTTCTGTCTCCTTTCTATCTTTCTTTCTCTCTCTTTCTCTTTCTTTTTCTGTCTCCTCCCTCCTTCCCTCTTTCCTTTCTTTCTTTCTTTCTTTCTTTTCTTCTTTCTTTCTTTCTTTCTTTCTTTCTTTCTTTCTCTCTTTCTCTCTTTCTCTCTTTCTTTCTCTCTTTCTTTTTCTGTCTCCTTTCTATCTTTCTTTCTTTCTCTCTTTCTCTCTCTTTCTTTTTCTGTCTCCCCTCCCTCCTCCCCCCTCCCTCTCTTTCTTTCTTTTCTTTCTTGCTTCTTTCTTTCCACTCCCCCACCCCCCGTTTTTGGCCTAGTAGGCCTCAGGGAAGCCTCCTGAGAGCAAAAACGGACCCCCAATAGATAGTTAAAAAATGCTTTAAAAAGTAAAAAAAAAAAAAAAGCTCCGAGGATCCTGCAGCACAACTGATTGTCACAGCTGATTGTTGGAACCTTTTTTTTAACTTTTATTTTAGCATTTTTTTTACTACCTATTACCCAAACGGGGAGTAAAAAAAAATGCTTTAAAACTGCTAAAAAAAAGTTCTGAGGATCAGCTGTGCCAAGCAATCATCAGAACTATTTTTTTTTTTACTTTTTAAAGCATTTTTTTTTACTACCGGTTTGGGAGAACCGGTAGCATTTCACCCCTGAGATAGATGTAGAATCAGGGCCTTATCTTCTCCAGCACATAAAAAAAAAAGGAGGATTTGCTGAAATAACGCAGCATTTATGGTTTTGGAAGTTGCGTTGACAGGAAGGCTGTACGCACGGCAGCCCTGATCAATGGAGCAATGAGCCCACATTATGTTCAGTTAATGGGGCCTGTATTGCAGTCAACACCTGCTTTCCTGGCAGGGAAGTGTTGCCTTTGCAGAATGGTGACCCTCGAATGCCCATGCGGTGAGAAAAAAAACTCTGTGTTTGTGTGTCTGTTTAAACCTCTCGCTTATCAGGTTGGAGCCGCGAAGCCATCCGGGTTCAAGGCGATTTAGAGCACTGGTGTGTGAATGTGCACAGCACACAGCTGGCAACACCTCCTTAAAAACCCCCCCCCCCCGGTGTGCCTCGCTCTTCCACAGGGCCACGAACTGCTTCTTCGAGAAACCGCCAACAGATGCAACACAAAAGCACGAAGGTCTATGGCCGTGATGGCAAACCTGTGGCATTTGTAGCCATATTGGTGGGCACGCGAGCTCAGCTACGGCCAGCTGATTTTCGGGCCTTCTGGGCCCACTGGGAGTAGGGAAACAAGCTGTTTCCTGCCCCCGGAGGCCCTCCGGGGGTGGGAGGCCGTTTTCGCCCTCCCCAAGCTCCTAGAAAAGCTCTGGAGCCTGGGGAGAGAAAAATGGGCCTACCGGGCCCACTGTGCCATCGCGTGCCGGGAGCGGGGGTGAGGGGGGTCGCATTGTGACACATACAGAGTTCCCACCTTGAGGCTTTTAAAGATATGGATGGATACGCTCTTTCGATAAACTTTGGTTGGGGGCATAAAATGCCCTTGCCTAATTCAAGTCTTTAGGACAAAGATCATCTTCTTTTAACGACCTTGCGGGGTGGAGTCTGGGCAACTGAATGGAGCTGAGTGTTTACTGGCCGGATGCCCTCCCTGTTGCCAGTGCGGAGTTTTGTTCAGCAGATAATATGCTCATTGTGCCCAGAGCAGGGTGGATAAAAATTAATGATTTTTAAAAAAAAAATCAAAAAAATCAGATTTTTTTTTATTTAAATCGGATTTTTTTTTATTTTTATCAAATTTATTTTAATAAAAAACTTTTGAGGTAAAAATCTATCGTAAGATAGTTTTCTATTTAAGATATATAAATCATTTAGTTTATTCAGCATGAAATGGAGCTTAGTTATGTAGCATGAGGCTGTATATTCTGCAACACTGGGACTATCAGTGAGTCAACAGTGGGGTCAAAGGAGTAGCAGAGATGACAGTTGCTCTTTAAAAATTATGATTTAAATCGAGTTGATTTCAATCAAGCCTTTTTACTAGTGATTTAAATCATGATTTAAATTGTGATTTAAATCAACTCGATTTAAATCAAATCCACCCTGGCCCAGAGAGAGAAATATCTGCCTCTACCTGGGATCGAACTCACAAGTCTTTAGGGCAAAGATACATAACACAATTTTGGTTTTTAAAGACTACTTACCTCTTTTTCTTTCTTTCTTTTAATTTGCTCTAGGTATATCTGGGAAAAGTCAGCTTCTGTTTGCACTGGTCTTCACTACTCGATACCTGGACCTCTTCACTTCGTTCATTTCACTTTATAACACTTCTATGAAGGTACAGTATACCGAATAAGTAAGCGGCCCACAAGCCATTACAGGGAGTTCTCGACTTACAGCAGTTCGTTTAGTGACCGTTCCGAACTGAAGAAGCTTGGATGAGAAGTGAAACATTTTCAAGGGGGGAAAAAAAAACCCTAAGAAAGTCCAGTTGCCTTTTAGAAAAGATAACAAAAATACCCCTTCCCCTTCACGGATTTCTTCGTCAAGCTGTGAGCAGAAAGAGGGGTTTCGTGAGTCAGCCTTGACATGCCAACCCACCAGGAGAAAGATAAGCCTAGGGGGAAAAAGAAAAGAGCCTTGGTAGTACAGTGGTTTAATGCACCCTGTTATTAACACAGCTGCCTGCAATTTCTGCAGGTTCGAATCTCTCCAAGACTCAAGGTTGACTCAGCCTTCCATCCTTTCAAAGGTAGATGAAATGAGGACCCAGTTTGTGGGGGCAATAAGCTGACTTTGTATAAATATACAAAAGGATGAAGGCTATTGCTTAACGCATTGTAAGCCGCCCTGAGTCTCCGGAGAAGGGCGGCATATAAATCGAATTTTTTTAAAAAAAAAAAACCATACACAAATTTACATCAACATTACATAGAAGCCCCTAACCTCCTGTTCTATTTGGGTTGAATACCTAGCATGGAACTTACAAAGAAGTCTAGAGGCCCTGACATATTTTGTCCCCTAGCAGAGGCAGGATGGGAAGCGACAAAAATCCTGGACTCAAGAAAGCACAAGGGGAAACTACCGTATTTGGTGCTGTGGAAAGATACAAACAGCAAAGTTATAGTCATAAGTAGAGAAGGAGATAGGTACTAGGAAGGATGAGAAGAAGAATAGTAATAAAGTCCTAGTAAATAGTTTGACAGTGTTGTGGGAACGTTGGGCCCGAATAGTATTGGACCACTGGTCAAAAGTGCTTTGAAAGAACCTGTTCAGGGAATGATATGAGAGTGCGTAAGGTAGCAGAGAGGCTGTGATGAAACAGGTAGAGAACTCACCTGTCCTCTGGTCATAAGACGCCAGGAATCCTGGATCAAACCGACAACATTTGACTGTGGAAACGGGTGCTTATCTCTAATTGTTGATTCGTTTATCTCACAAGAGTTTGAGCTCCCTGTCTAGTTGGGGAACTCACGGTCAGAGTTCAGAGACAATTAAAACTGTTGTCTGTCGCTGAGCAAACGAAGGGAAGGCGCCTCACTCCAAACAATCCGCAAAAGTTCCTTTCCCCACACGCAAAATGTTTGTCCTTCCTCCCGGTGATCAACCTGGGTAACCCCTCTGGATCTCTTCCTTCCAGCTGATCTACGTTGCTTGCGCATACGCTACTGTCTACCTGATCTACATGAAATTCAAGGCCACCTACGACGGGAATCACGATACCTTCAGAGTCGAGTTTCTTGTGGTCCCTGTCGGCGGGCTGTCTTTCCTGGTCAATCATGATTTCTCTTCTCTGGAGGTAAATTCAGAATACGGCAGCGTTTGGGTTGACCACCAATGCAATAATACACCGGTTAATCTTTAAATACACCCGCCCACCCACACACCAGGGAAGGGAGACTTTTGCTGGCTTTTCTCTCCGAATTCAGCTGAGCTTCAGTTGGAGTGGTACAGTTCCTCATTTGAGCCCTATAGTTTAACTGAATTCAAGAGAACTTCCTCCCAACCTATATGCAGGGATTGCCACTTTAGTCACTCAGATGCTCATTTCCTTAAAAAAATATTGGGAAAGTGAGTTTGTCTTTTGTTCTCCTCCCTCCCTTCTTTCTCTCCCTCTGCCTCTCTCTCTCTCTCTCTCTCCATCTCCTCCCTCTCCTCTCCCCTTCTCTCTCTTCCTGCTCTCTCCCCCCTTTTCTCTCCCTCTCCTCATTCTCTCTCTTTCCCTCCCTCCCCTTCTCTCTTTCTCCCCCTTCTCTCTCTTCTCTCCCTCTCCTCTCTCCCCCTTCTCTCCCTCTCCCCCCTTCTCTCTCCCTCTTTCTCTCCTCCCTTCTCTCTCTCTCTTCTCTCTCCCTCTCCTCTCTTCCCTCCTTCTCTCTCTCCCTCTCCCTTTCTTTCTCTCTCTGATACTTGAGAAGCATTTGGTGCCATCTGGAGGACTCAACAAGATCTACAATTTAAACCCTTTAAAAAGGTACCATGATGTAGATGCATGTTGTATTCTAACTCGGGAGTCTCCAAGCTTGGCAACTTTAATTTTAATTTTTCCTGTTCCACTGATTAATTATTCTAACTGTCAGGAAGTTTCTCCTCAATTCCAGATCCAGGTGGGATCAGTTTCCACCTGTTGCTTCTTGTCCTGCCTTCAGGTGCTTTAGAGAATAGGTTGACCCCCTCTTCTTTGTGGCAACCCCTGAAATATTGGAAGACGGCTATCATGTCACCCCTGATCCTTCTTTTCATTAAACTAGACATACCCAGTTCCAGCAAGGGATCTGGAGGAGCGTATAATTTTAACGTCTGTGTTTTATGGTTTCAGATCTTGTGGACTTTCTCCATCTATTTGGAGTCCGTGGCGATTCTTCCCCAGCTTTTTATGATCAGTAAAACCGGAGAAGCGGAGACCATCACTACTCACTATCTCTTCTTCCTGGGCCTCTACCGTGCCTTGTACCTGATCAACTGGATTTGGCGTTACTATTTTGAGGGGTTCTTTGACCTCATAGCCGTGGTGGCTGGAGTGGTCCAGACCATTCTGTACTGCGACTTCTTCTATTTGTATGTTACAAAAGGTAAGAGACACACGGTAACACATAATTGTGCAACTTTAAGAGGAGTGAACTTCAACTCCCAGAATTCCCCATGCTCAACTCTGGGAGTTGACGTCCACTCACCTTAAAGTGGCTAAGGTTCAGAAACTCTGCATTATGACGTATAATGTAGCATCTTTCCTCAATTTGATAGCTTGGGGTTGTGTTGGACTCCAGCTTCCATCATTCCCCGCGGCTGCAAATGTTGGGAATTATAGTCCTGCTCACCTACAGGGCACCATGATGGAAAAGGGAAATCTAGGTCCCTCCAGTATGTTTCCATGATACCTTATATGGCTCACACTAAAACTTCATCAAAACAAGAATGGGCGTAGACCAGTATTTCTCAACTTTGGCAACTTTTAAGATGGGTGGACTTCAACTCCCAGAATTCAGCTGGCTGGAGGATTCTGGGACCACCCATCGTAAAGTTGGCAAACACCGGTCTAGACTTTTCTAGATCTCATTTTCAAATGCTATAAACTGTAGGATTCCACCCTCCTCCCCCCCCCCCCCCACCATGTCTCCTGTATCTCTCTACAACTTTATAGAACACAATCCTTCTATGACAAAACACTGTTTTTGACGACTGCAATTTAAAACTAAACCCACATGAACCACAAATCAATAAATCCGGGCCATGAAATATCTGGGAGAAATGTTGGAAGATAGTTTGATTTTTTTTCCTTTCTTGTTTGGGTTCTTGTGTGCATGCAAACACACTATCTACAAACAAGTCTAGATTTTTAATGTGGTACATTTTTTATGCATGCTACGTTTGCATTAAAGTAGCTTGGAAACGGGTGGACTTTTGCTGACTTGTCCTTTGCTGCCTCTGGGCTGGTCGCTCTCCTTCCATTTTGTCACCCTACAGGTTTGGGAGGATCTAGGATTAGACTGGGAGATACATCTCCATAAGTTAAGCATCCTAGGGACCGTATTTTTTGGAGTATAAGACACACCTAAATTTAGAAGAGGAAATCAACAACAAAAAAAAGTTTTTGGCCTTCGCGTGCCACATTTTCAGGCCTTTTCCAGCCTTTTCCCAGTCTGTTTTCGCGGCTTTTTTTGCCCCATTTTTGCGGCTTTTTTCAGGCTGTTTTTCCGGGAAAAATTGGCCTCGAAAAAGGGATGAAAAAAGCCTCGAAAACAGGATGAAAAAAGTCTCAAAAATGGGACAAAAATGGGGCATGCAGAGGCAAAAAAATGGTTGGCGGGTGAGCGGGGCTTTGGCAATATTCAGTCTATAAGATGCACAGACATTCTCACCCCCTTTTGGGAGACAAAAAGTGCGTCTTACAGTCCAAAAAATAGGCTAATTCCTGTTTCCCTCCATGTCCCAAAGGTGCTCTTTTCAGGAGGCAACTGGACTTTCTGGGTTTTTTTTGAAGATGTTTCACTTCTCATCCAAGAAGCTTCTTCAGCTCTGAGAAGCGAAATGTCTTCAAAGAAAAGCAAGAAAGTCCAGTTGCCTCTTGAAAAAAGCACTTTTGGGACAACCATGACCTGGAAGGCTGAGAATCTCCATAGAAGGTTTCCCTCAATGCCTTTTTTTAAATAAATTGCAGCCGCAGAATGACCTGACTTCTTATCTCGGGTACCCGTATATTTCCTCTAGAAAGGGATGGAGTGGGTACCATCATTTTTCAGAAGGACCTAAGCCTAAAATTACTCCCTTTGCAAATGTTGAGGGTGCAGTGAATGCTTTTCCTGTATACAAAATGTGATAATAGGACCGGTTCTCCCAGTTGGATGGCTTCGGTTGCCATTCCCGTACATATTTAATTCCGCCAAATATACCATTAATCCACAGGTACGGGCGTATTTAAAAAGGGAAGGAAATTCAACACCTTAAGGCTGGCTCGCTTGACGAAATATAGCTTCAGCCTCAAATTGGGATTGAGAGCCTGATACACCCAAGATTGCCCAGTTTTAGAGAGCTGAAGAAATTCAGACAAAGTAGATTTGATTTTTGGTGGGCGTCTCTTCCATCCTGCAAGCCAGAATACAGGTGCTCAACCTCTCAAATCAGCATAATTCTCCCAGTTCATAAGCAAGGCTCCGAGAAATTGGCTGGTTCAAGATTTACTCATGGAATTCAGTTTGTGGTTGATAAGCAAGGGTGACCAATAATTTTCATTCAATTATCCGCTACATATACTTTCTATTTCCTTCTGGCTCCTCTCTATGTCTGACAGTGAAGGCTTTTGTTTGCAATGAAAATACAGGTAGTCCTCGCTTAACAAGCGGTAGTGGGCTCGCGTAAGGATTGCATTTGCATTTGCTTAATAACTAGTTGTAAAATTTGGTCAGTCGTGCTAGTTGACTGGCATGGCTTATGCCTGTAATTCCAAGCATAATTACGGCACAACTTGACGACTACCTGTAGAACAGAATTCCGCTGTCATAAGTCAAGGACTACTTCTACAAGAGAATGTCCCTGTCGTAAGTTGAGGACTACCTATAGAAGAGAATTCCTCTGTCGTAAATCGGGGACCAACTGCATGAGAGAATTCCCCTGTTGTAAATTGAGTACCTACAGAAAATAATTCCCCCATTATAAGTCAAGGATTATCAGTAGAAGAGAATGTCTCTGTTGTAACTCAAGGACTATAAGAGAATTCCCATCATAAGTCAAGGATTTTCTGTAGAAGAGAATTCCCCTGTCGTAAGTCGAGGACTACTTAAAGAAGAGAATTCTGTTTGTAAATTGAGGACTAACTGCATGAGAAGAATTCCCTTGTCATAAGTCAAGGACTATAAAACAATTCCCATAAGTCAAGGACTACCTGTAGAAGAGAATTTCTCCTGGGTGCCAAGGCTCCAACGAATGCCCTAATTAACTCATGAGTCTCTAGCCAAGTTTCTAAAGAAATCCAGTTATTTATTAGGAGCAACATGTCGGCAGCTTCCCAAGTGTAGTCAACTCTGCCGCAGGGCTCAACTATGACCCTGTTTCCCCCACCTCCTCTCAGGCTGTGTCATAAATCACATTCTCCAACGAGGCACTTTCACGGGCTGTAGAAATCACTTCTCACAAACTGGCTCTGGTAATCTGAGATCCAACCTTGGAGGAAGGTATGCATGGAATCTGCTTGTGAACATGGCTGCTGAACAGATGCTCCGACAGATCTCCCCCCCCTTTTTTTTTCCCATGACAACTCGAGAGCAGACCAGAAATGCTTTGCGAGTTGACACTGCCGTTGTGCTACGCAATCTGCAACCGTGCTTTGGATATCTGTGTTGAACTGATCTTGTTTTCCCCCTTTTTTGCTTTCCAGTGCTCAAAGGGAAGAAGCTGAGTTTGCCAGCCTAAAGTGCCAAGGGTGAGTCCATCCTGGATGCATAGAGAGAACAATCCCGACCATCAAGAGGCTGAAGATGCTTGAACAGATGGCCTCCCGCCCTCTTTTTGCAGAGAGACCCCTCCCGCGGGGGCGGGGGGGGGCCTCTGTAGGTCCAGAGAACCAAATGACTTCTGTTGGATGCATCTTGCCTTTTTTTCTCCCCCCCTCTCTTTTTTTATTACTATGTATAAAGATTTTTTACACGAGAGAAACTTAATACCGTGTGGATTTAATTCAGCGTGTAGTTTCAAAGTGGAGTAGTTCCAAAAAACAAACAAAACCACAGTGATATTTTTTTTTTTTTTTTTTTTTTTTGGGTGGGTGGGTTTGTGGGATCCTGGGAAGCAAGAAGCGGCCGCAAACAACTCCTCCCCCCCCCCCCCCCAAAAAGATTTCCTGTCAATGGCCGAATGATTTTTTGGGCGCGCACAGGCCTGGGCTGATTGACGGATGGTAACTCCCTCCCTCTTTCCTTGTTCGACTTCAAATTGGATCCCGCTGTATTTATTTTCCTTTTGGTTCCTCAACCCTCCAAACCCGGAGTGTTTTGTGTGGGCTGAAATCCAAACAGCCTTGTCGGAAAAACACTCGCCGGAAAGGGTGTCACGGTTTTTCAGCAATACCTTCAGCGACTCGTTTTACTTTTTTCCTTTCCATAAAAAGATGCTTCCGTCGGTAGCGTCTGTTCATAAAAACTCCCCCTCTACTACTTCTCTTCACCTCCCCGAAGACCCTGAATTAAGACTATTGGGTGCCAATGCACCTGGTTTGGGGGGTCGTCCCCCCAATGTAACGGTTTTGCAGCAGCCATTCCTGTTTGCATGTGCCCCCGTCAGACTAAAATTATTCTGCAATTTTTTGAAGGGCGTGTGTGTGTGTATTTCTAAACCATTTTCTATCGACAGCAGCAGCGTGCACACCACCCCTGCAATCATCGTCTGGGTTGAAATCATCCATAGGTGGCAAATTTTTAACGGTGTCTCCATCTTTTTTAATACAGAATCCTTTTACAAGTAAAAACGTCTTGGTTTAAGCTTTTCCACCAATTTTAGAATGTGCCAGTTTTGGGACGATCAGTTGTTCCTTTTATAGACTCGTTTCCTTGAATCGGCAGCACCAAATCCTGTTCTCTAGCTTTCCTTTTTTTTTTTTTTTTTACTAAATTCTGTTGCATGATTTATCCTGTGTTACCATCCTCAATAAACATTTTATGAAGTGGTTCTCCATTGTGGTGGTCTCAAACGATGCTCCCCCCACCCCACCGGGGTGGCAGTTGCTCTCCATGTCACTTGCAAGGGTTCAAATCCGGGCTCGGTTACCTCTTCGTTGTACGATTAAAGGCAGCTTCCTTCTTTTATCTGCAGAATAGACGTAGCTTTGAAATTGTAAAAAACGTGGGCAGTATTTTTATTTTTAAATGACAAGAGCTGCAAAAAAAATGTTTAGAATGTACCGAAGCGATTTTTAAAAGATAACTCTGTCATAAAATGGCCGGAGCAGAAAGTTTTTATGAAATGTAGAAGTCTTACATATTTTATGTGATCGTCTCTCTCACCAGTAGGGAAAGAAAAGCTCGAATAATTATTTCTCGGCCAGTTAATTGAAGCCTTCAGATCATTTGCATAATGGGTTTCTAATGAAGATGATGGCAGCATCTTCTCCCATCACCCAATCCTTTCATAAACTGAAGGAAGCCATGATGATGTGGGCGAAGAGATAAAAGAACTGTACAAATAAAGTAGGAAAAATAAGAAAAAATATTTGAATAGTCGACATTGCAAAAGGGTCACTCATCCCCAAGAAGTCCTTGATTTACAACCATTCGTTTAGTAACCGCGGTTGCGACGGCACTAAAGAAAGTGACATTCGATTGGTTCTTGCCGTTGAAACCGTTGCTGCATCTTTGTGTCACGTGATCAAAATTTGAGCGCTTGGCAACCGGCATTTACGATGGCTGCAACGTCCCAAGGTCACATGATCAACATTCATGACCTCCCCAAACTGGTTTCCAACAAGCAAAGTCAATGGAGGAAGCTGGATTTGCTCAACTCTGGCAAAAAGGCCGTAAAACCTGATCCAACTCACATAACCGCCTTGCTCAGCAACAGGAATTCTGGTCCCAACTCTGGTTGCAAGTCAAGGACTACCTGGAGAAAGGCAGCCCCTCAGCTCAAGCCTCACTTTTTTATTTTGTGCATGTATAATTTTCTGTTCCAAATATATATATATATTTTCCTCACTCTTATATCGCCTTGTCTTATTCAGGAAATGCATGGTTTGGGCCTGGGAGAAGTTCCTAGGATGGACTGCACCTCGTTTGGAAAGGTGTAATTAGCTGAAGGAAAAGAGGCAATTCGTTGAAAAGCAGACCTTTTTCAAATCCTTGTGGCATTTAATTCTGCCTCAATCTTAATTAATGATAGTATCCCAATATCATGGGACGCGGTGGCTCAGTGGCTAAGACGCTGAGCTTGTCGATCGAAAGGTCGGCAGTTTGGCGGTTCGAATCCCTAGCGCTGCGTAACGGGGTGAGCTCCCGTGACTTGTCCCAGCTTCTGCCAACCTAGCAGTTCGAAAGCACGTAAAAAAATGCAAGTAGAAAAATAGGGACCACCTTTGGTGGGAAGGTAACAGCGTTCCGCGCGCCTTTGGCGTTGAGTCATGCTAGCCACATGACCACGGAGACATCTTCGGACAGCGCTGGCTCTTCGGCTTTGAAACGGAGATGAGCACCGCCCCCTAGAGTCGGGAACGACTAGCACATATGTGCGAGGGGAACCTTTACCTTTCTCCCAATATCGCTGTAGCTTTTCAGAAACTTCTGCCTTTATGAATCAAACAAAATATTTCCATAAACTCTGCTAAGCCCAGATAGAGATGATTAGGTGCGGTGTCCGTAAAAACCCAAAGCTATTTTAAGAATTGAAGGCCCTTTGTATGTTACAGACACACAACTGGTCCATCAGCTCCACTAATGCAAAACATAACTTGATTTGCAACCCCGCCCAGGCATAAAATGGGCAGCCATAATAATAAAAATGCATGAATCGGGGATGCTTTGATCCGGAGTTGATTAGAACTTGGTTTTGTGGTTGTGCTGTAGTCAGTTCTTAGAAGTAGGACATTGTGAAGCCACCTTGATGGAAGATAGGACACAACTTCAAAGGCTTCCAAAGTATGAGAGATGCTTACTCTCATCCCTAATTTTCCCCCCACTCAAGCTTCCCTTCTGAAGAGCTATATTCAAGCCACATTTTTTCCCTAGAACTAAGAAAAAACTTGAGTTCCTCCTTCCCTTGGATAAACTACACAAATGAACATATTTGGCCAAATCACAGGAAAACTGCCCTCAATGGGGAGTTTGCCCAGGAAATCCTTATGCCTTAAAATTCCCCCCCCCCCTCCAAAACTTTGCAAAGTTAAGTGTAGAACTTTAAAACTCTTGAATTCTTCTTCGGTTGGGGATCCTGGGAGTAGAAATCCACACCCCTTAAAATCCCCCAAGCTTGCAAAATGCCGCCCTAATTTCAATTCACAATGCCTTACTCTTCTCTACCATTGGGGACGAGCTGTTGAAACTCGGATCGGAGGGAAGATAGAAAAAAATCATGCCCAATATTGGAAAGAAAAACAAATACCACCTCAAGAACATGTTATTGGAAAAATATTGGAGTGCGCCGAAATGAACAAATTGACTTCAGAAATTAATGACAGAGAAGATTCAGAATTTTATAGCGTGTGGGACATGTGGTACGAATGGATGGGGGAAAGAAATAAAGAAGGTAATAGAGATTAAATATTAACTAATTAACAAAATCTATATGAATAGTATTATATTTAGTCTTAGAGACTTGAGCACTATTATCTTTAAGTGTTTTGAAATTAAATCTAGCTTCAAGAAACAATATCAACAAAAGACCAGCAATATTGCATGTAGATGTATATATGTATATAATTGCACCAATGAAGCGAAAATGTACCGATTGTATCACTATATGTTATAATAAAAATCAAATTAAAAAAAAAATCATGCATAAGTTTGGGATGAGCGTTAAAGAGCATCATTTTGTTACCCCCAAGAGGATTACATCAAGCGTTATTCCCACTACACTACAGGGTTCTCAATGCAATTCCCCGGGAACCGAACCCCCCTCTCCCCTTTAGAGACGAGGAACTCAGCAAACCCTTTCCCGGAACAGATGGGGATTGTAGTCCAACCCTTTTGGCAAAAGGAGGGCTGCCCAGCCTGGCCCCCCGACTCGTGGAACCGCAACCCCAGCCACTCCCCGTCTCAAGGCAGCCGAACGAAACCGAGACTGCAGCATGCCTGAAACTCCCTTGAGTGATACTTACCTCTTTGACTCCAAAAGCTCGTCCTCCTCCTTCCGTCTGCGCATGCGTCTTCCTGCCGAGAGGCTCAAGGGAGAGCTCTACGCATGCGCCTCTTTGGGAAGAGGCCACCAAAACAGGAAAAAAAAAAAAGCAGTCGGCCCGGGGATCCTGGCGTGACGTCACGGCGTTCTGACTCCGCGGGGCGCGAGGCGAGTCTGCTTTTTTGCAAAAGCGAAGCCGCCGAAGCGCGGAGGGTGCAAAGCCGGGCAGGTGGGTTGCAAGCGCTGGAGTGGGTGGGGGGGGGGGGGGGGGGGGGCTGGAAATAGGGGAGGTCCGATGAGTTGGGGAAGGGTCCTTGGTTTTTGCAAGGGCCTGGACTGGGGAGAGGACCTTCCTGGGTGGGCAAAGCTCTGGGTTGCCAGGGGGAGAGAGAGATTGGCATGGGGTAGAAGCGGGGGGGGGCGGGTATAGGGGAATGGAAAGAGGTGGGGGGTGCTGGGTTTTTGGGGGGCGGGAAGGGAAACCTTGCAAAGGTGGGGGAACAGCTTGGAGGGGGCTTCCCCATATTAAAAGAAGGGGAGCAAGACTGGGCATGCTTGTTCTTCCAAGAACGAATTTGCAAAGAGGGAGGGGGGGGAAAAAGCAGAAGTTTGCCCCCCAAAAGGCTGATTTAAAGCAGCTTGACCCAGATGCGTGTTTGGCCACCTTCATTGGTGATGGGAGGTTCTGTTGTGGGCATCACGGGGACAGCGCCCAGCATGCCCCCCTCCCCCATAAATTAGTAGTAGCAGGTAAATTAGCTGCGAGGCCCTTGGACTGCAAGGCGATCCAACCGGTCGGTCCTAGAGGAGATCAACCCTGATGGCTCTTTAGAAGGCCAGATCCTGAAGATGAGACTCAAATACTTTGGCCACCTAATGAGAAGGAAGGACTCCCTGGAGAAGAGCCTAATAATGCTGGGAAAGATGGAGGGCAAAGAAGAAGGGGACGGCGGAGAACGAGGTGGCTGGATGGAGTCACTGAAGCAGTTGGCGTGAGCTTCAATGGACTCCAGAGGATGGTAGAGGACAGGAAGGCCTGGAGGAATGTGGTCCATGGGGTCGCAATGGGTCAGATACAACTTCACAACTAACAACAACAAATTAGCTCAGTATTTACATGTTTTGCTCCTCTATCAGCCTTGGTCAGCTTAGGTGGTGAGAAAGACCTGTGGGTTTTGTCCAAAACATTTAGAAGGCACCAAGCTGTTCTCTCTTGGACCCATCTCCTTCAACTGTTCAACAGACGTTATGCGCCGATAAATATTCAGTTTGTTATGGTGCCACCAAAACGTTCTTGAGAAGGTGTGTGTGTGTGTTCATGAAAAACAGAAGTGATACCTTAAATCTCTACAACTTCACCGAAGTTTCTTTGGAAGGTGCAACCAATTGAGTTGAAAGAAGGAGATAGAAGTCTCACTGGATGATGTCCATGGTGTCCTCAAGAAGCTTGGAAGGACATCTAGGCTTGAAGAGCAATAAGGAGGTCGAGAAAGCCCAAACATGTCAAAAAGTTCAAGCTAACTGTGAAAGCTGTTGTGTCTGAGATGATGTGTCTAGAACAACAGTAGATCTCCTCCATCACTTGAAGCTCTGGTGGCATCTGCTAGAGAGGTTCTAGAGTTTCTAGCACAGAGCAGAGAGTTGGACTAAGGTGACTTAGAAGTCTCCACAACTTCTAATTCTAGCTTCTACAAGTAAATCTAGTTTTCTTTTCTGTTAACTTTGGTAGCTGTTTTTTTGGTAGTTTCCCCCCCCCCCCTATTCAGCGGTACCTCGGTACCCATCATTCATAGGTTTCTGGAGGTGTGATGAGTATCAAAATTTCCCCGTAAGAAACAATGTAGTGAGTCACAAGCTCGCCAACACTGACAAGTTCTAGCTTGTGCGTTGAGTACCAAACAAAACAATGAGTTCCCGGGACAAAATTTTTGCATCAAGTTTGATGAGTTTCAAAGCACTTCTTAATTTCTTCTGTAAAAACCTGTTGAGATAAAACGCACAAAAATATTTTTAAGTAAATAGGTTCCAAGTTGTTTTCCATGGGAGAGACAGGCGAGAAAGGGATAACCTGTGTTGTATCTCCTTCTTCTCCTACAGTGGTAGAAGAATTGAAGCCCGATTTCCACTATGCCTGGATTGATGTTGTTCGGCCGGCGTTGGGCTATCGGCAGTGATGACTTTGTCTTCCCTGGAAGCTTTGAGTTGTTCATCAGAGTGACCTGGTAAGATGTTTGCTCTCAGAGGTAGGGCTGCTACTAGACATAGCAGCTCAGTTCCTGTAGATCAGGGGTGTCAACTCAAGGTCCATAGTCCAGATCCGGCCCGCGATGGGGCCATCCTGGTCTACCCAATGCAAAGAGGAAAGTTCAGGCCAGCGTGGCTTCGGCCCGGTCTATCCAATGTAAAGAGGAAACATGCCAGCAGTTTGGGGCGTGGTGTCAAGATGACCACACCCACCCAGTTGGCCACACCCATCTAGTGTCATGCCTGCCTGGCCCTCCTCCGAGGTCAACCACAGCCCTGATGAAGTCCTCCATGAAATTGAGTTTGACACGCCTGCTGTAGATGTTTGAGTCTCCAATTTGGAAAGAGATCGATCTTGTGATGGGCACCTAATTGTGGTTGAACGTTGGCCTTTTCTCCCCTCTTTTCATACCCACCTTAAATGTTCCCCTGGTAAACAAAAAAGGGAGAGAATTTCAGCCACAATCCATAATGACCTTACACTGTCACCAGTGCGTTAGTGGTGGTAGACTTCCAGGACTTAGGAAGCTGAATTGCAGCCTTCAGACTTGCCAAGACTCTTTGCATAATATAAAGGAGGATGACTTGCTCAACCACTTCCAAGATGGAGCTCATTTCTTGGACTGTTTTGTGGCTGCTTGCAATGGAAACCTCAATGAAGGAGGCTTTAGGAGTCATTGTGCTTTTGTGAAACCTTTTGTGGTTGGTTCTGTGCTTAGTTTGTCTTCTGAAAAGACAAGACTTCTGCTGAGAATGTTCAGGGTGACAAAGTTTTCTTTCTCTTTCTTTCTTTCTTTCTTTCTTTTTTTCTTTCTTTCTTTCTTTCTTTCTTTCTTTCTTTCACCTTTCTCCCTCCCTATTTCCTTCCCTCCTTTCATTTTCCTTTTGTTTCCTCTCTTTCTCTCTTTCTCTCCCTCCCTCTCTTCCTTCCCTCCTTTCTTTTTCCTTTCATTTCCTTTTGTTCCTCTTTCTCTCCCTCCCTCCCTCCCTCCCTTCCTGCTCTCCTTTTCTTCTTTCTTTCTTTCTTTCTTTCTTTCTTTTCTTTCTTTCTTTCTTTTTCTTTCTCTTCTTTCTTTCTCTGTCTCTCTCCCTCCCTCCTTTCTCTCCTTAATCTTTCTTTCTTTTTTCCTTTCCTTTCCTTTCTATCTTTCTTTCCTTTTTTCTTTCTTTCCTTCCTTCCTTCTTTCCTTCCTTCCTTCCTCTTTCTTTCTTTCTTTTTCTCTATCTCTCTCCCTCCCTTCCCTCCTTTATCTTTCTTTTTTCCTTTCCTTTCTTTCTTTCTATCTTTCTTTCCCTTTCTTTCTTTCTTTCTTTCCTTCCTTCCTTCTTTCCTTCCTTCCTTCCTCTTTCTTTCTTTCTTTTTCTCTATCTCTCTCCCTCCCTTCCCTCCTTTATCTTTCTTTTTTCCTTTCCTTTTTCTTTCTTTCTATCTTTCTTTCCCTTTCTTTCTTTCTTTCTATCTATCCTTCCTTCCTTCCTTCCTTCCTTCCTTCCTTCCTTCCTTCCTTCCTTCCTTTCTTCCTTCCTTCCTTCCTTCTTCCTTTCCTCAGGTGGATCGGAATTTTGGTTTTGTATTCCATACACAAAGGACAATTTAACTGTACCGGAGGAGGTCTTCTGAATAACTACCTTCTCATCCTCCTTATCCTCCTGGCGTTCATCATAGCTGCTTTGTCGTCAATTACATACACTAGCATGCAAGGTAATTTGTCTTCTTCATTAGTTTATGGATTAAGCAAATCCACTGTGGTTTCGGTATTGAACGTCAGTCATACTAAATGTCATACAAGAAGCTGCTTGGTACAGAAATCGGTCTGTCCAGGTGGTAATTATAAATGTAAATAGACAGGTGTGTCATAATTTTGCAGCACAAAAGTATAATCTTAGGAATGTCTTTGCCTATAATCTTAGAAGAAGGTTTTCCTTCTAGGAAATTTTTTTTTTTAAAAATGTGGTAGTTAAGATATGACACACACTACAGGGAGTCCTTGACTTATGACCACAATGGAGGCCAAATTTCTATTGCTAAGTGGGTTTTGACCCATTTTACGACCCCAGAATACTGCAAACGTCATAAATATGAATCAGTTGCCAAGTGTCCAAATTTTGATCATGTGAGAACATGCAGAGGCCGCCATGTTCGTAAGTCCCTTTTTCCCAGTGCCATTGTAACTTTGAACAGTCGCTAAAGAAACTGTTGTAAATCAAGGACTACTTATAGCTGGCCCATCATCAGTCAGTCTATAGGAAGGGAACCTGTTTGGGTCCTCAAATGTTTTCAGTCTAAAATAAAACCAGCTACGGTTGTTGTTTTTCTAGTCCAGGGATGTCTAACTCAAGGCCCGGAGGCCAGATCCGGCCTGCAGACTGCTTAGATCTGGCCCGCGAGGCTGCCCTGGAAATAGCGAAGTCCCGGCCTGCAGCGCTTCTGCCAGCGAAAACGGAGCTCACCAGCCCGTTTTCGCTGGCAGAGAGTTGCAGGAGGCCGTCACAGCCAAAAACGGAGCTCACCAGCCCGTTTTCGCTGGCAGAGGGTTGCAGGAGGCCGTCACAGCCGAAAACGGAGCTCACCAGCCCGTTTTTGCTGGCAGAGAGTTGCAGGAGGCCGTCACAGCCTAAAACGGAGCTCACCAGCCCACCCCTGGCACCCCCGAAATGAGTGATGTCGAACTAGACATGCCCACCTCAGCCACGCCCACTCTGACCCCCAGAAGTCAAACACAACCCTGATGCGGCCCTCAACGAAATTGATTTTGATGCTCCTGTCCTAGTCCCTAAGTCGAATGACTCTGTTTTCCAGGAACCATTTCCAACCCCGGGCCAAGAAAATCCCTTCCGAAACTTCTGTACGTCCGCCTGGCTCTTTACGTCCCAGAGCTTGTCTGGGCTGTTGTTGGAACTGTGTGGATAGCCGACAAGCGAGTCAACTGCGAAAGAGCTATGATCGATGCCATTTTTGGGACCGTTATTGTCAGGTGAGGCGCTTCTGCCTTCTGTTGCTAGACTGGGGGTCTGGATATGGCATCGTAAATAAGGATACTCATCTTTTTTGGGAATGCAACTAGATATTTTCTTCGCTTTGTGAAGATGGAGGAGGCCTTAAATTCATCTACCTGGGTGTTATTGATGGTCCTGGCCCCCTCTCTGCCTCCGACGCAGAGCCCTCATCCAAGCCCTCCCCAGACTCCAGGACTGGTCCATGTTCCTCCCCAGACTCCTCACTGTCCGACTCCGCTTCCAGCTCCGCAGGCTGCTGGTGGACTACAACAAGTCTGGGGGAACTTTAAGAGCTACAAGGGTTGCAGGTCGTGATGTCTCCTAGGTTTTTATAGAATTTCTCCTCTGTTCTTCACGTCAGCTGGGTGATCATGGTCTTCATGCTGGTGGCCGTTTTCATTTTCTTCGACCCTCTCGGGAGGAAGTCGGTCTACCTGGCCGACTACGCCACTCGCAATCTGGAGAGCAGCCAGTCGGAGCAGCTGTTTTGCAACATCAAGAAGAGGGCCACGCGAGTCTGGGAAAAGAGAATCCGGTTGTTGTGTTGTTGCATTGTGCAAAACGACGATCACCGCGTGGCTTTTACCAGCATCGCCGAACTTTTCCGTTCCTACTTCTCGGTAAGAGGTCAATTATCGTGTTGTGCGTCGTTTTGTCTTTATGCTCCGAAACTCTGGGAGAATAAAATGCACTACAGGTAACCTCCACTTATGAACATTCATTTAGCGACTGATTGAAGTTACAGCAAAAGTTACTTACAACCAGTCCTCACACTTATAGCTGTCACGGGTCATAATTTGGATACTCGGCAGATGTTTACCCTGGCTTCACCATCCCAAGGTCATGTGATTGGCCTTTGGGACCTTCCTAGCGGCTTCCAACAAGCAAAAGTCAACGGGGGGGCTGGATTCGCTTAACGACCATATGATTCACTTAACAACTGCAGTGATTTGCTTAACAACTTTGGCGAAGAAAGGGTTGTAAAATCCGGTGCGACTCAATTAACAACCACCTTGTTTAGCAATGGAAAGACAAGTCATCCTTGTGGTCATAAGTCGAGGAAAGTTAGGATCCAGCTCCCACTGTTAGTAAAAATTTTGTTTTAGTTCTCATTTCCGGTGTCAAATTTTTGAATGATTTTAGGCAGCTTTTTCTGGGTGGAAATGTATGTTAACAGTTATAGGAGTTGTGGAAATCCCATAACAATTTTTTTTTTACACCTTTTTGTTAATGCTACGATTCAGGCCTTGTCGTGAAACAACTTGTATGTATTTATCTTTGTGTAATCACTCCCAGCGATTTATAGTCTAGCACTGGAGAAGCAATCAATGATTTTTAATTTGCGTAGCCGGAAAAAGAAAGCAAACGGTAAAAATAAGCAGAGCAAGGCCAAGAAAAAAAAAAACGGAGATTTGTTTAGCCCTGAATTTTTTCAGCTTGACTTCCTGGTCTTCCAGATAAATCCAGAAGGATTTGTCCTCTCTCCCTCTCTCTTTCTGCAGGACACCGACTTGGTGCCGAGCGACATAGCAGCAGGCCTGACTCTACTCCACCAGCAACAGGATAAGGTCGAAAATTCAAAAGACCCCGACGAAGTTTTAATTCAGCCCCCGTCGCCTCCTGCAGTAAGTCTCTCGCACCCGTTACAAGGCAGGTTGGGGCCAGTGCTGTTTTGTAGTTGCACCTGCTGTCTGTTTGGTGTGTGCGACTGAAGCCAGGGTAGTCCTTGACTTACGACTGGTGACTTAGCGACCGTTTGAAATAACGACAGACCTCCTTTTGGGCTACCCAGGTTTGAAGTTCCAACAGGTTTTTTTTTATTATTTTTATTTTATATTATATTTTATTTTATTATTTTATTTCATTATTTATTTTTTATTTATTTTCTTTATTTTATTATTTATTTTATATTATTTTATTTTATATTATTTTATATTTTACTTCATTTGAATTTTATTTTATTTATTTTATTTATTTTATTTTATTTTATTTTATTTTATTTTATTTTTTTTATTATTTTACTTTATATTTTATTTTATATTATTTTATTATTTTATATTTTACTTCATTTATTTCATTTTTGAATTTTATTTTTTTATTATTTTACTTTATTATTATTTTATTTCTTTATTACATTTGTTTGCCGCCTATCTCACAAGCTGGGGCCCCTCCGCACGTAACCTGACCAGATTTGGGATACTCGGCCACAGATTTGGGGTACTCGGCCACATTGACAGTCATTTGCAGCATCCCGTAGTCACGGGACTTCATTTTATGACAGTTTTTCTGAAAACGACAGCACTTAACTTCCAGTTTTCGGGCAAAACCCCACCTGCCATAGCGAGCAAAGGGTTCCCTTAAGAACTGTGACGTTTGTTTAATGGCTGCAGCATTTGCTTAATGACTCCGCCAAAAAAAAAGGTTATAAAATTGTCTCTTTCACAGGGGAACGATTTGGAGGTGGAATTAGAAAACGCGGCTCATTATATGAAGTTTGCCGTGGCTGCGTACGGCTGGCCTTACTATGTCCTGGCGAATCCTTTTACGGGTCTCTGTAAGCTGAGGGGGTTCTGGTAGGTCGACTTAACCTTCTTAAAAAGCAGAATATGTGCCAAATATTTTACCAGGTTGCGTGTGACAGAGAGAATCTGGTTGTTGGAGAATTGTAAAACTGAAGAGGATTAAGTGCGTGAAAAGTAATTTCCTCCATCACCGAATCCTTAATACTAAATGATCTTTTCTAATGTTTCAATTTTTTGTTTCAATTTTTAATTATTGTAATGTTTTCGCATTTTTTAATTTCAAATTGTTTCTTAAAACCAACTTGTTCTGTAGCTTAAAAACCTTGAAATTATCCTTCTGGGCTCGTTAGCACAAATGACCTCCTCGCGCTGTTAAAATCCCAAAGGTGCTTTTTTCAAACTTTCTTGGACTTTCTTGGTTTTTTCCCTTGAAGACGTTTTACTTCTCATCCAAGAGGCTTCTTCAGTTCTGATCGAAGCTTCTTGGATGAGAAGTGAAAAGTTTTCAAAACAAAAAACAAAAAAACCCCAGAAGGTCCAGTTGCCTTTTGAAAAATCACCTTTAGGACAACTGTGACCCTGGATGGCTGAGAATCTCCATAGAAACAGTTATAACATTACCAATATCATATTACTGTATTATAAAGAATGATGATAGCATTATTATACAACAAGAATTGCATCTTAGGGTAGATTTCGATTGATAAAGTACTATAGTATAGATAGTATCTTAGAAAATGCAAAAAAAAAAACCCCTCAACCTAATATAGAACCAGGAGGAAAAAAAGAAGGAAAGCAGGAAATGATCAAGAGAAAAATATCGGAATAATTCAATATATTCAGACAATATTAGAACAGAACATGGAAACCAGGAGCCTGAGCTGAAATCACCTGGTGGCCAAGTAGTCCTTGACTTATTGCTATAATTTAGTATATTTAATATGCTTCCACCGGCCTCATTATAAACTTGTGTGCTTGAATGCAAGTCCTATTGCCCTGAATTTGTACAGCTTTTAAAGTTCGTAATAGAATCTGTAGTCTAAAAATCCGTGACATGGAGAAACATAACCGTTCTCTTTTTTAAAAAATAGGTTTTTTTTTTATTTCCAAAGTTAAAATACAAACTCCAAGATAAGTAAAAAAAAAAGGAGAAAGAAGGGATGTAACTGTTCTCTTTCTAAAATATGTTTTTGTTTTATTTCCAAAGTTAAAATACAAACTCCAAGATAAGTAAAAAAAGAAGAAGAAAGAAGGGATGTAACTGTTCTCTTTTTTAAAATATGTTTTTGTTTTATTTCCAAAGTTAAATACAAACTCCAAGATAAGTAAAAAAAAAAGAAGAAGAAGAAAGAAGGGATGTAACTGTTCTTTTTTTTAAATATGTTTTTGTTTTATTTCCAAAGTTAAAATACAAACTCCAAGATAAGTAAAAAAAAAAAAAAGAAGAAGGGATGTAACTGTTCTCTTTTCTAAAATATGTTTTTGTTTTATTTCCAAAGTTAAAATACAAACTCCAAGATAAGTAAAAAAAAGAAGAAGAAAGAAGGGATGTAACTGTTCTCTTTTTAAAATATGTTTTTGTTTTATTTCCAAAGTTAAAATACAAACTTCAGGATAAGTAAAAAAAATAAAGAAAGGAACAAATACAAAACTAAGCTAAACTAGACAAAACAAAATAAAAATGTGCATGAAAACAAAAGAACAAACATACACATAGATTGTCCTCCCCTCAAATTGACTCCTGATAAGTATATTCCAACAATAATAGAAATCTAGCTATTCTCAACTCAGAATAGAATAGAATAACAGAGTTGGAAGGGACCTTGGAGGTCTTCTAGTCCAACCCCCTGCTTAGGCAGGAAACCCTACACCACTTCAGACAAACTGTTAAACTCTTTTTGTTTTTTTCCTTGCTGGATTTCTTAGTTGCAGAAACAGCTCAGCGCAGACGGAGATCATCGGGAGAGATTATCTTAACATGCACTTCGGTTCCATCATGCAGATGACGGGACTGCAAAACAGAGATTTCATCCACATCAGCTTTCACAATAAAGTAAGCAGTTTGAAGGCATCTCTAGCAGGCCTCTAAGTCTACCTTTCAAAGTTTAGTTCTTGGGACAGAAAAGAGAGATTTAGAGTGGCCGTGTGACCGTGGAGGACCTGTATGAAATTTTACAACTGGGTCCAGGTTTGATCTAAAACCGCTTTGAAATAAGAAAAAAGCTGATTGGCAGGTGGATCGGCCTCCCGGAATACCCCCAATCAGCTGTTCCCAGAGTTGAATTTTAGCAACAGGTTCCTTGGTTGTGAGCTCTGTGCCTTAATTTTTTTTTATTATTATTTTTCTGCCTCTGAAACATCTGAAACTCTGTTTCAGAAAAAACTTTTTTTTTCTGCCTCTGAAAGCCTCCGAAACATCTTCAGAAAAAAAGCCTCTGAAGCTCTGTTTCTGAGGCTTTTTTCTGAAGCTCTGTTTGGAGGCTTTTTTTCTGAAGCTTCGTTTCTGAGGCTTTTTTCAGTCTCTGAAACCTCCATTTGAGAAGCTGGGCGGGGCTACATTCGGAGTATAAGATGCACCCAGATTTTCACCCTCTTTTTGGGGGGGAAAAGGTGCCGTCTTATACTCCGAAAAATACGGTAGTTGGTTCACGAAATGTCTGCAAAAAAAACAACCAAGTTCAGAGAGCATTAAGGAACCCACAGTTCTTTCTCTCTCCCTTTTTCTTTTTCTTTCTTTCTTTCTCTTTCTCCTTCTTTCCCCCCCCCAACCCCTCTCCTTTCTAGCACTGATGATGTTACCTAGTTGGATCACGAAATGTCTGTAAGAAAACAACCAAGCTCAGAGAGAATTAAGGACCCCACAGTCCTTCTCTTTCTCTCTCCCTTTCTCTTTTTCTTTCTTTCTCTTTCTCTTTCTCCTTCTCCCCAACCCCAACCCCACTCCCTTCTAGCACTGATGACGTTCCCTAGTCAGGTCATGAAACGTCTCCAAGAAAACAATCAGGCTGAGAGAGCACCAAGGACCCCCACAATTCAACCCTGAGTTACAAATATTCTCTTCCGTCTACCATCCTGCCTAGACAGGGTTAACCGTTGAGAGATGATCCCCTTCAGGGCTGAAAGGACTCTCAAAAGAGCCCAACCTGAAAAGGATCCTGTGCTGCTTGTGCTTTCAGATTTTTGAGATCCCTTTCTTCGTGGCCTTGGATCACCAAAAAGAAGCTGTCGTGGTCGCCGTGAGAGGAACTTTATCATGTGAGGTAATCTCTCCGCGTGTGGCTCATGTGAGATTATGATGGAATAAAAGCTTCTGCTTATGGAATCTTTTCAAAGTTTGGCTAGTATATACCGAGAACCAGTGATGAAATTCAATTTTTTTTTACTACCGGTTCTGTGGGCGTGGCTTGGTGGGCGTGACAGGGGAAGGATACTGCAAAATCCCCATTCCCTTCCCACTCCTGGGGGAAGGATATTGCAAAATCCCCATTGCCACCCCACTCCAGGGGAAGAATACTGCAAAATCTCCATTCCCTCCCCACTCCAGGGGAAGGATACTGCAAAATCTCCATTCCCTCCCCATTCCAGGGGAAGGATATTGCAAAATCCCCATTCCCACCTCACTCCAGGAGAAGGATACTGCAAAATCTCCATTCCCACCCCACTCTGGGACTAGCCAGAAGTGGTATTTGCCGGTTCTCCGAACTACTTAAAATTTCCGCTACCAGTTCTCCAGAACCTGTCGGAACCTGCTGGATTGAACCCAAAAAAGTGATTAGATCAGATTTGCTTTGTGAACCAAGTCCCTCAGAATATGCCACTCCTATCAGGTGCGACAATGATCTTTTTTTTTTTTTTTTGCATAAAGTTTTTTTATTTTATAACATATAAAAATTCCATTTTCAATTCAACAGTGTGTTGGTCTGGGAACAAACAGTTTTAGGAAATAATAAAACATTTACAATGATGTTCATTACATTGATATTAATTCTATAATAGTAAAAATAATATTTGCTTATCTTTTTAAACAAACCTCCCTTCTTTTTGTTGGTCCTTTTCCTCCTATTTCCATGTTTCTAACTTCTCTTTTTGTCAGCTCACCATTGATAAAATAAAGCCCATGTCCAAGAAGTATTCAGTTTGTTCCTTTTCCTTAATTATAAGCGTTAATCTATTCATTTCTGCACATTCTAATATTTTTTAAAATTATATTTTCATCTGTAGGGATTTCTTTGCTTTTCCATTGTTCTGCAAATGCGATTCTGGCTGCAGTTAATACATGTAAAATCAAATATGTGTTCCCCTTACTATACTTATCCGGTAAAATAACCAACAAAAATATTTCTAGCTTTAAATCAATATGTTGCTTTATCATTTTTTCCAACCACAATAATACTGCAACAATAATTTTGACAGGCAAAAGAAAATCCATTACCTGTTTTGTATGTATGTATGTATGTATGTATGTATGTATGTACTTATTTATTTATTTGCACTCAGGATGTCCTAACGGACCTCTCAGCAGACTGTGAAAGCTTAACTCTTGAAGATGTCCTAGACAATGGCCTTGTCCATAAGGTTGGTAAATACTTTTAGAACTGTTATTGGTTTTGATTGTCACAGAAAGGCCCTTTGGCTAGCTGCCTGCTGTTGTTTGGATGCACTTCCATCCCGCTGTCAACTCGCAAAGCGTCCCTGGCCTGCTCTCGAGTTGCCATAGGCGAAAGGGATGGGGAAAACGGCAAAGCAGCGCGGCAGCCCAAAACAAAAGCACATTCCAGACATCTCTCTCTCAAGGCTGTCTCCCAGGATTACCCACAGCAGCTGGAGGGGAGTGATCTCTACAACCTGCTAAATGGCTCCGTTGGCGAATGTGACTGATGACACACCCTGAGTGGGCAGGGCCAAGTCTGGGCCGTAAATTACGTGGGGTCAGAGTTGGCTGTATTTGGAACTCCTATTAATCATGAAGCTCCTAATAAATAACGGGATTCCTTTTGAAGCTTGGCTCAAGGCTCATGATTAATTAGGGCATCCAGAACCCTGACACTTGCGTTCCTGGCGTCAATTAGAAACTTTTAAGCCCACCAGTAATCTTTATAAGAGCAAATCAATAACACAGAATATTAATAAGGGCAAACCACTGAGCCCGGAGTTTGATAAAGCTCTATCAGTTATTTTCATTCGAAAAGTGATACCAATTGTGCTTGTAAATGAGAAACTACCTGTGCTTTCAAGCGAAGACTTAACCAGCGCTGCTGTTGTGGCCTCTCGGCCGCCAGCCTCTCCAACAGCCGAATCAGAAGAGGAGGCGTGGGAGTCAGGGTCAGCATCAGGGCAACCCGAGAGCTCCAAGGGGGAAGAGGGAACGGAGCTGGCAGAGAGAGAGAGAGAGAGAAAGAGAGACAGAGGTGGAGCCTGGGCTGTCCGTCAGCTCTCAGATGGAGAGTCCCCAGATAGGAAGGGAGGAAGGAGAGAGGGAAGGAAGAAAGGAAGGGGGAAGGAAGGAAGGAAGGAAGGAAGGAAGGAAGGAAGGAAGAGGAAAAAGATAGGGAGGGAGGAAGGAAGGGGGAAGGAAGGAAGGAAGGAAGAGGAAAAAGGAAGGGAGGAAGGAGAGAGGGAAGGAAGGGGGAAGGAAGGAAGGAAGAGGAAAAAGATAGGGAGGAAGGAAGGAGGGAAGGAAGGAAGGGGGAAGGAAGGAAGGAAGGAAGAGGAAAAAGATAGGGAGGAAGGAGAGAGGGAGGGAAGGAAGGAAGGGGGAAGGAAGGAAGGAAGAGGAAAAAGATAGGAAGGAAGGGGGAAGGAAGGAAGGAAGAGGAAGAAGATAGGAAGGAGGGAGGGAAGGAAGGAAGGGGAAGGAAGGAAGGAAGAAAAAAAAGATAGGGAGGAAGGAAGGAGGGAAGGAAGGAGGGAAGGGGAGAGAGGAGGAGAGAGGGAGGGAAGGGTGGAGAGAGAAGGGGAGGGGCAGGAAGGGGCATTTGAGATGAGGAAGACGAGGAACAGCTGGGTCCAGTGCCTGATATGTGCAGATGGCAGAGGAGAGGAGAGCAGTGGAAATCTATGGGCTGGTCCTTGGGATGGAAGAGCAACCGCTACTAGTGAAGCCCCACCCTACTTCTGGGGATAAAAGGCAGGGGGCGGAGATGAATAGATGTGGCAGATAACTATTCATCTGTCTGCCGGACAGACTTGCTAGCTTGTGTTGAGAGAGAAACTTTTTGCCGGCGCTCCTAATAAAAGAATAAACTTCAGGGGGTTTGTCTTGTTTTGGGAGCTGGGTCAGAACAGCTGCTAACGTCTTCCCGTTTTTCCCTTTTAGGGGATAACCCAGGCTGCCAATTATATTTATAGAAGACTGATAAACGATGGGATTTTGAACCAGGCGCTCAGCATCGCACCCGTAAGTTGTGGCCTTTGGACTGTCCTGTCTCTCTGACGCGGCAGCCGAGTTGGCTCTGCTTCCCGTTGGGGATTTCTACCTTTTTTCCTTCACTTGTTCTCTCTTCCCCTAGGAATATAAACTGGTCGTCGCTGGCCACAGCTTAGGAGGGGGCATTGCCTCCATCCTAGCTATCATGCTCAGAAACTCTTATCCCAACATGAGATGCTACGCTTTTTCTCCACCTGGAGGCTTATTGAGGTACGTTATTATCCCGTCGCTTCTTTTCGTGGGGGAATCGTCAGATCCGTCGGGGCATAGATCAGGGCGCCAGGCGGAGCTGGGATTCGACCTGGATCTTCCTGGGGTCATCCTGGTGGCTGGTTGAATCCAGTTGCTTCCCAGTAAGTGTCTTTCTGCTCTGTCTTATAATCAACGAACTAAAGATAGCAATAGCATTTAGACTTATATACCACTTTACGGCCCTCTCTAAGTGGTTTACAAAGTCAGCCTATCACACACCCCTCCCCCCCAACAATCTGGGTCCTTGTTCTACCGACCTCGGAAGGATGGAAGGTTGAGTCAACCTTGAGCCGGTCAGGATCGAACTCCTGGCAGTGGGCAGAGTCAGCCTGCGATACTGCATTCTAACCACTGCGCCACCACAGCTAATCAGCAGTATCTCTTAGACTTATATACCGCTTCACAGGGCTTCACAACCTTGAGCCGGTCAGGATCGAACTCCAGACTGTGGGCAGAGTTAGCCTGCAATACTGCATTCTAATCATTGCACAGGGAAGGGAAGGGAAGGGAAGGAAGGAAGGAAGGAAGGTAGATAGCAGTAGCTCTTAGAGTTATATACCGCTTCACAGTGCTTTATATTATGACGGTTGCAGTGTAAGTCGAGGACTACCTGTATTATGTAATTAAAAAACACCTGCCTTTATCAATATTGGTCGTGAGAATCAGTCATCGGCTGCCCTAATTGTGCTTCCTTTCCTGTTTCTTCTCTTTGAAGCAAATCCCTTGCGGACTACACAAAGCAGTTTATTGTGTCAGTCATTGTGGGGAAGGACATCGTTCCCAGGTAAGGGTACACAACGTGTAAGGAAAAGATAAAGGTTCCCCTCGCACATGTGTGCTAGTCGTTCCCGACTCTAGGGGGCGGTGCTCATCTCCGTTTCAAAGCCAAAGAGCCAGTGCTGTCCGAAGACGTCTCCGGGGTCATGTGGCCGGCATGACTCAACGCCAAAGGCGCACGGAACGCTGTTCCTTTCCCACCAAAGGTGGTACCTATTTTCCTACTTGCATTTTTTTACGTGCTTTCGAACTGCTAGGTTGGCAGAAGCTGGGACAAGTCACGGGAGCTCACCCTGTTTCGCGGCGCTAGGGATTCGAACCTCTGAACTGCCGACCTTTCTGATTGACAAGCTCAGCATCTTAGCCACTTAGCCACCGCATCCCTTACACAGCGTGTAGTTCAGGTTGAAATCATCGCCTTGAATTTTGTCAGGTCTTGAATTTTGATCTTTGCTTCTCTCCGTCGTTGTGCCCGAAACAGGTTAAGCATGCTCAATTTGGAAGACCTGAAAAGGAGAATTATTAGAATCGTTGCCAACTGTAACAAACCCAAGGTAAAAAAAAGCGCCTCTGTCAGTTGTTTTAAATGGGAGTTTTGGGATGGAAAATGAAGCTGTGGCTTTAACTTTTGCTGGTTCTTACTTTATGTGTATGGAGATTTTTCAGTCACCCAAGCCATGATTGTTCTAAAGGTGCTTTAGAACCTTTTTCAAAAGACGACTTGAAGATGTTTCGCTTCTCATCCAAGCAGCTTCTCCAGTTCCGAAGAAGCGAAGAAGCTTCTTGGGATGAGAAGCGAAACGTCTTCAAGGAAAAACGAAGTCAAGTTGCCTTTTGAAAAAACAGCACTTTGGGGTGTCAGGGTTCCAAGTAACACCCCAAACGAAAGAAGACTCCAAGGCTTCCTCAAAGTTACATTTTATGAGTGATGTCATATTGGCACATCTGGGAAAAACCGAATCTGAAAGTTTCCAGGTTTTCCCCACCCAAAGGAAAGTTCAAGTCCCTGCCCAGCACCCACAAGTCCATCACATGGTCCAATCCAAAGCATCGTCCCATCTGGAGATGCCTCCCAGTCATACCTCTCCAGGTGCAGGGCAAGATGTCCTTGACTCCCTGAGAAAGGAATGTTATTTTGAGTATATATTATCTTGGCTCCATACAATCCTCCCTCCCAGTTTCTCACAGTAGTAAATGTGGCAGGCCTGAAGGCCCAACAAAAAAGATGGCTTCCAGTCCCAACATGATGTTTCTTTAGTGACCTAGATGTATTGGGGGAGGGGGGGAGTAATAGAAGAATTGTTACTGCTCTTAGCCTCTTCTGCTGTTACTCTTATCTGGTCTTCTGTAACAACACATTTATAAGAATGAACATAAGCCTAACCCCAGTTTCCAGAGGTTCCTACCACACTCTTAGTTCTCTCCCTCTGGTATGGATTATTTTGAGAAGGGAAAAATATCCTTTTGGAAAATTATTTTCTACCTTCTTCACGACAAGTATAAACAGTTTCACGCTCTCTTCATCTCCTCTTAATTAACAAATCTAAAACCCTTTATCCCATAATTCATCTGTTAGTAATAGACCAATTTAAAAGAAATAACACCTTCTCCTTATCCAGATTTTGGCAAAAAGTCCAAACAGAATCCTAAAATATTAACATTAACATATACATACAGTAGTGGCCAAAATTGTGGAAACCTTTTGGGAAAAGCGTATTTTTGAGGTTTGATGGCTAATAACACCACTTTTTTTTTTGAGTTTCAAAATAATCCTATTCCGCTGTTGGAATGGCCTGGGAATAGCCCAGACCTTCACCCAATGGAAAATCTATGGAGCCGACTAAAGAAACTGGTTAGTCAGAAGTGACCCAGCAATAAAACCCAGTTAATCGAAGCCATCATACAATCTTGGTTTCACATGATAACAGCTGCAGAACTAAAAGACTTGGTTCACTCCATGGGAAGACATTAATAAGGCTGTTATTCATGCTAAAGGTTACCCAACTAAGGATTAACTGACATGGGGATCATTTTTGTATATCTCGTATTTTCTATGGTGGCCATTTTTGTATATCTCATTTTTTCTATCTGTTTCCCTTTTCTTCTCTATACTGTAACTGCTATTCTAATAGCAAACTCTTCATAAAAGCTACTGCATTACATTCTTGATTAAATTATCTTTCCATTGATATATAATTTTATGGTACTACTCCCAAAAAAAGTGGTGTATTAGCTAGGTTTAGAAAATACAACTTTTCCCAAAAGGTTTTTGCACAATTGTGGCCACTACCGTATGTGCTACATCAAACTCAGCGTCCCAGTTCTCAGCTCAAATCACCTCAGTTGTTGAGTAAGTACGGCTTCCCCCATTGGCCTGTTGGAAGCTGGCAGAGAAAGTCTTTGGTGACCCCCCCCCCTCCAGGACAGCGCAACCGTTATAAATACATGCCAAGTGCCCGAATTTTGATCAGATGACCATGGGCTGAAAACGGTCATAATTTAGAATCGGTGGTTTCGGTGCCATTGTAACTTCGAACGGTCGCTAAGCAAATGGTTCTGAGTCGAGGACGGCCTGTTCACCTCAATCGGACCAAACGAAAATCAATTTCACGATTTCCCTTCTCTGTTCCTTTCGGTGTCTTTTCGATCGCACAACATTCCAGTTCCAGATTCTCTTACACGGATGCTGGTATGAAGTTTTTGGAGGGAAACCCGATAACTTCCCCACCGAACTGGATGGCAGGAACCAAGATGCTCTGACCCAGCCTCTCCTCGCCGAAGAGAACCTGATGGTTCAGCAGTCGCCCTTGTACACTAGTTTAGACGACAATTCACCCTTAGGGTCCAGCCCTCAATACCCTCACTTGTTTCTCCCTGGGAAAATCATCCACATCGTCGAAGAAAACAGCACAAAAGGGTAAGTGCAGGGATGGGGCTGCTGGAGGTTCGCAGGGGTTCGTGAGAACCTCTAGCTAAGATTCTGTGCAGTTCGGAGAACCCCCAAATCCCACTCCTGACTGGCCCTTCCCACCCCACCCACAGGAGTCCCCACACGGCCCGTTATGGATGCAGGTAAGTGCAGGGTGCATGCAGAGGCTCGGGGAGGGTGAAAAACGGGCCTACCGGAAGTTTGGGAAGGCCAGAAATGCCGTTTCCAGCCTCCAGAGAGCTTCCGGAGCCTGGGGAGGCCATTTTCATCCTCTCGGAGGCTCGAGAAAAGCCTCTGGAGCCTGGGGAGGGCAAAAACGCCCCCCCCCCCCAGCCTTGGTGCCGGAGGCCGACTAGGCCACAGCCACCCAACAACTGGGCAGAGAACCCCTTGCTAAAATTTATGAAGCCCATCCCTGGGTGGGTGGATCATTTATAGGTTCATAAGCTAGGATGTCCCTTGGTAGTCACTTAGTCTTCTCCTGGATACTGGGGAAACACCCTCCTCTTAAGTCCAATGAAAAGAGGAAAGCTGCAGTTTGGTGTATAGTGGTTAAGGTGCTGGTTTAGAAACCAGGAGATGGTGAGTTCTAGTCCCGCCTTAGCCCTGAAAGCCAGTTGGGTGACTTGGAGCCAATCACCAGGAGATGGTGAGTTCTAGTCCCGCTTTAGCCCTGAAAGCCACTTGGGTGACTTTGAGCCTATCACCAGGAGATGGAGAGTTCTAGTCCCGCCTTAGGCATGAAAGCCAGCTGGGTGACTTTGAGCCAATCACCAGGAGATGGAGAGTTCTAGTCCTGCCTTAGCCATGAAAGCCAGCTGAGTGACTTTGGGCCAATCACCAGGAGATGGTGAGTTCTTGTCCCGCCTTAGCCATGAAAGCCAGCTGGGTGACTTTGGGCCAAGCACCAGGAGATGGTGAGTTCTAGTCCCGCCTTAGCCATGAAAGTCAGCTGAGTGACTTTGAGCCAATCACCAGGAGACTGATAAAATTTTGCCTTCGGGAATCCTTTCCATGTTTTGTTCTATGCTAGTTAGGAGTATGCAAAACATTGCAACGTTCCATGCGCAATATTTTGCAAAGATCCCCAGTTTCATTTGTTTTTAGTGTGAAGGGCCTGTCTCAATGTTCTATTGAGCTTCTCCATTTGGTTTTCTACTTGAAGCCCTTCTAAGATCTCAGTGGAAGAGAAAATTCGGAGCTCGGGGTTGAACGGTGGGGTCCTTGGTGCGCTCTGAACCTGCTGGTTTTCTTGCAGACGTTTTATTACCCAGCTAGGTAACGTCATCAGTGCTAGAAAGGAGTGGGGATTTGCTCTGTGTTTTATTATTTAAACAGTTTAATTAATTAAATTCCTTAATTAAGTTGTGTGAGTGGTAGTTCCTTGATTGGGGTATTGTTACTGGTTTGCATTCCAGATCTTTGCAAAGGTTTGCATGAAAAAAAAATGCAGCCAAGTGTTAATAATATCCAGAACTTGCAGCCAAGTGTTAATAATATCCAGAACTTACTAAGTCTTTAAAGAAGGCATAGAATCATAGACCTCCGATCCAGCGTTGACGTTAATAATAATAATAATTTTATTTCTATACCGCCCTTCTCCCGAAGGACTCAGGGCGGTGTACAACCTATTTAAAAACACAAGACAAAACAGTGATTAAAATTTAAAATGATTAAATAGATTTGGCTCAATTTAAAACCCCAGAAATTTAAAATACCCCAATTTAAAACTATTATGTTGATAGCCCGGCCTGGCGGAACAACAGGGTCTTCAGCGAAACACCCGGAGGTCGGAGATCTTACGTATTTCCTCTTCTTACGTTGTCTTCTCTTGCAGCTGGTTCTCTTCTGAAGTCAAGTATTCAGCCAGCTGGTCGCAAGAAACCGCCTTTGGTAGTATTTTAATCAGCCCCAAGATGATCACCGATCATTGGCCAGATATAGTCCTCAGAGCTCTCCAGAGCTTGGTTCAAACCGAAACATCTTGCGTTTCGTGTCGATCCCAAGGTGAAGCTTTCTGAATGTTGTGTAATGGCAGAGATGGACAAGCACAACCTGACTGTGTGCCAGATGTTCACAAGAACAGCCTTTTTAGCAGTTCAGCTGCGTGTGTCTAAAAGCAGAAGATCAGAGAAAGATCTTCAGATGTTTCTGGATGTCCCACCACCTTAAGGTTGAGGGTAACGTCTTCTGGATTGCTTGTAACGGACCGAGATGATTCGTGTTGAAAGATACGATTTCATGGAAGTTTTAATAGGTCACATCTGCCCAGGGGACTGTGGTGACATGAGAAGAACCCAACTGATGGAAAGCGATGGTTGATGTCCTTCTAAAGATCCTTTAGATCCGTCTGATCTGCTACGTGTTTTTCGAAAGCACATTATGGGTCGCCAGACCAATTCCCTGTGGCATAGTGACACCTGAACTGCAAGGTTTACGAGGTACTTGTAAATGTGTAAGTAAATCCGGAATCTTGGTGAAAATTAACCTCAAGACTTCGCCTATTTTGGATACGCACTGATGATGATTAAGTTTCTGCCGATGATCAGAAATGTCTTGGTTTTTTCCTTTCTTTCTTGAAAGGAAGAAAGCATTTTAGATGCTTTTCACTGACGGAACTCTTAATTCTTGGGGGTCTGTGCAATTACGTCTGTTTTTGTTTACAGTTCTTTTTAACACCGCTGAATGTGCAATTAACGATAGAAAATTTAAAAGCCACGGTCTTCGGTTCGTGTTAGCACAAATTTTAACTCTGTATCAAGATTTTTTATTTTTTGTTTAGAAAAACAATCCTACCGTGTTCTATCGAGCTGATAAAAAGTTTGGCGTGATTGTTTTAAAAGAAACAAATCCAGATCAAGTTGATTAAGAGGATTCTTCAAAACTTTGATTGCTGTCCTAATGGTGATTGGTAGGTGATGTTTTTGGATAGATCTTCTAGTAAGCTAATTTTTAACGCATCCACTTCCTGGAAAAATTAACGCAAATCCAAGGAATGCTATTAAAAACAAATGTATTTCTGATCTGGAAGCAGACTAAATTTGAATTTGGCATTCCTTTTTAATCTCAGTCTGCTTTCAGTGGCAAATAAGAAGCAGGTCAGTAATGGGCTTAAAAAAAAATCCAGATTTTAAGTACAGGTAGTCCTCGACTTATGACCACAATTGAAATCAGAATCTCTGAAAGTGAATCTTTGGCTTTGCTGGTTGGAAGGCAGTTGGGAAGTCACAAGTGGCAATCACAGGAGCCTGGGATGCTGCAGTTGTCCTAAATAATATGACAATTGCCAAGAACCCAAATTTTGATTACGATTGTGGGAATGCTGCGATGGTTAAGTGCAGGGACCAGTTTTAATTTGTTTTTTAGTGTAAATTTGGTAAGCAAATGGTTATAAGTCAAGGACCACCTTTAAGGCCAAGACAGAATTCCAGAGTTAGATTTGAAAATGTGTTTTATCTATACAGTAGTGGCCAAAATTGTGGAAACCTTTTGGGAAAAGTGTATTTTTGAGGTTTGGTGGCTAATAACACTACTTTTTTTGAGGGGGGTTTCAAGATAATCCTATTCCACTGCTGGAATGGCCTGGGAATAGCCCAGACCTTCCCCAATTGAAAATCTAGGGAGCCGACTAAAGAAACTTGTTAGTCAGAAGCGACCCAGCAATAAAACCCAGTTAATAGAAGCCATCATTCAATCTTGGTTTCACATTAGAATAGCCGCAGAACTAAAAGACTTGGTTCACTCCATGGGAAGACGTTGTAAGGCCGTAATTCATGCTAAAGGTTACTCAACTAAGTATTAAATGACATGGTGATAATTTTTGTATATCTCATTTTTTCTACGTGTTTCCCTTTTCTTCTTTATACTGCAACTGCTATTCTAATAGCAAATCCTTCATAAAAGTTATTGCATTACATTCTTGATTAAAATTATCTTTCTATTGATATATAATTTTATGGTATTGCTCCAAAAAAAAAGTGGTGTTATTAGCTAGTTTTAGAAAATACACTTTTCCCAAAAGGTTTCCAAAATTTTGGCCACTACTGTATATACTTTCTCTTGCACATATTAATATTTGGTGCCTAACATGGCATGTTTTCTCTTAAGCTAACATGTGGATTAGCTTAAACTAATGTGAAACTGACTAGTTTTATCAGTTTTATCTACCATTATTCATGCTATACAAGAGTGTTATGGGCTGAGTTTGCATTGGGCAATTTTAAAGAGTCTCATGAAAGAGAGGTCTCTCCCCCCCCCAAAATGGGTCAAATATCTACAGTTGGCTCCCTAAAGCTCACTGCTGAAATAAGCAATGTTTCTGCATAAAAAATGACTTTGTTGGAAGAATAAAGAAAAAGTGGCATTCTGGACAGTATCCCTGTTGGGTGCAGCAAATGCACAAAATTATGGAAGGAGGGAGGGGGTCTAGCAATGAGGACCGTTGGCCTAAGCATCATCTATAGATAACATCCCGATATTTTTTTTCCCCATTAAAAATAAGTTTCCACCCGCTCAGTGTGTTGGTATGTTTTCTCCTTTCAGGGTCATAAATGGGAGGATTCATGGCAGTTGTGGCATAGCCAGACACTGCTGACGTGAGACATACAGGGAAAAGTCACAAGAGTTGATTTCCATATTGGTTAGACCGGTGTACCTCGACTCTAGCAACTCTTTAAGATGTTTGGATTTCAACTCCCAGAATTCCCCCGGGCTGGCTAGGGAATTCTGGAAGTTGAAATCCAAACATCTTAAAGAGTTGCTGGAATCGGTGAATCGACTGAAACAATTTTCCAGCAGTTACGCATATGACCGCAATCTTACAGTTTCCCCGAAAACAAGACCCAACCAGAAAATAAGTCCTAGCATGATTTTTCAGGATGCTTGCATTATAAGTCCTACCCCCAAAATAAGCCCGTTAAGATTGTCAGCCAGATGGATGCATTTAGTACCGTATTTTCCCCCAAATAAGACCTAACCAGAAAATAAGACCTAATGCATCTTTTGGAGCAAAAATTAATATAAGACCTGGTCTTATTTTTGGGGGGAAACATGGTATAAAGAAAATGCCAGCATATGGGTAGTCCTTGACATATGACCACAATTGAACCCAAAACCTTATGTTGCTAAGACTCTTAATTTTTCCCCATCTTATGACCTTTCTTGCCACAGTTGTTAAGTGAAACACTGCTGTTGTTTTTAAGTTAGTAACACAAATGTTAAGTGAACGTAGCCTCCCCCATTGACTTTTTTTTTAAAAAATTTGATTTATATGCCGCCCTTCTCCGGAGACTCAGGGCGGCTTACAATGCGCTAAGCAATAGCCTTCATACTTTTGTATATTTATACAAAGTCAGCTTATTGCCCCCACAATCCGGGTCCTCATTTCACCTACCTTAGAAAGGATGGAAGGCTGAGTCAACCTTGAGCCTTGGCGAGATTCGAACCCTGCAGTAATTGCAGGCAGCTGGTCTTAATAACCAGCTTAATAACAGGGTGCCTTAAACCACTGTACTACCAAGGCTCTTGACTTTGACTCTCTGACTTTGCTTGTCAGGAGGTCGCAAAAGTGGATCACATGACCTCGGGACGCTGCAACCATCATAAATAGGAGTCAGTTGCCCAAGTGTCCGGATTTCCATCGTTTGATCATGGGGATTGGCAACGGTCGCAGGAAAAAATGGTCATAAGCCACTTTTTCAGTGCCACTGTAATTTCCAACGGCCACTAAATGAACTTTTGTAAGTGGAGGATTACCTGTAGGGTGTTTTTTTTTAAAATTAGGAAGCAAGAAAAACAAAACCAGAGTGGGTTAAGAGGCAGGGAAACAAGCCACAGTACCAAGCTCCTCTCCCGTTGCACGCAACTCGTTGTACACAGCTGGCACAAAGAATTTTAACCCCATGAGGTGGTTAAATTCCCATCCCTGGGGGATAAAAGTCCTGCGACAGGATGGCACGTTTGACACGCACACACCAATGCAACTCAACGGAGTCGAAACTCTAAACCCGGGTGTGGTTTAAGAATTTATTAAGTCATACATGCAAAACAGACTGCTAACTTGCATTACCAAAAGATCCAATGTAAAAACTTCACAATCTTGCAGACTCCCATTTATATATATTTATATTTTTATATATATATGTATATATTTGTTCTAGTGATTGAAAGGGGGTTGTAGGGGGGAGGGAAATCAACGTATTCTTGCCAGCATCTGACGTACAGAACCTCACAGGCCTGATTTACCGTTATTAGACCGGGTTCCTGGAAACGGTTAAAACGAGCCATGTTGGGGTTAGTAAAATTAATACAGCTTTAAGATACCTGGCAGATAAGAGAGACATTAGCCGGAGGGGAAAAAGAAGTGAAATATTTAAAATGGAAAAAAGTGGTCGATCAGCTGCTCTTGATTTTTTACACCAAATTTATCTTCAGGACTGAAGAAAGCCTTTTAAACCAGGGGTCTCCAACCTTGGCAACTTTAAGCCTGGTGGACTGCAACTCCCAGAATTCCCCAGCCAGCAAAGCTGGCTGGGGAATTCTGGGAGTTGCAGTCCACCAGGCTTAAAGTTGCCAAGGTTGGAGACCCCTGGTTTAAACCATGTACATAATTAGGAGGGGAGAAATAAGACAGGTGGCTACATTTGACTATCTTATCCAAAAAAATAAGTGGCTAATACAAATTTTTTAAAAAATGCTTTAAAATACAAATTAATATTGCTCAGGAGGAGATTCTATAAGAAAAGCATCCAGCAAGAACATGTGGGAGAGGGGGGGACCAGCTCAAAATTAATAATAAGCTTAAAAGTCCCGCCAGAATGATATGAAGGAATACTCTAGAAAAAACTCCAACCTGCTGTTCAGCTTGTTCGATTAGCTGCAGGAGGGAGGATTCCTTTTGTGGGTTTTTTTTTACATCGTACAAGAGAGAGAGAGAAAAAAAATCTCTCTTCGGTTTTAAACTAGCGCGTTAACAATGTAGTGTAAATTTGATCTTTTTACAGTGTCAAAATACTGTCTGGCCATTTCCGTTAACCAAGTCAGTCGTCTTTCCTCCAAGAAAATAGTTATTCTGCCGTGAAGGGAGACAAATACATTTCGAGAGAGAGAAAAAAAATAGCTTTAATCACAGACCTTAGTAGATTTGAGATATATATATATATAGATAGATTTTTTAAAAAAGGGAAGGGTTAATCTGGAGTTGTCAATTATTGCATTTGTTCAAGCATGAAAGTGTGTGAAGAAGCTGTCGGATGAATGAGTGCATTTTTAGACAGCAATGGGGTTGGTTTTTTTATCTTCCTGGGAAAACCCAGATTAAAGTGTTGCAACTGCTAATAAAACATTAGTATTTTTTAAAAGACACCTGCCTGACTTTGTAAGAAAAAAAAAAAAAAAAAGACAGGTCTGGTGGCTTCACGTAACAAAGCACAGCAATCCAAGAGGAGTAAGGAGCAGAAAGTTTGGCAACAGTTGATTAAGCGGAGCGAAAAAGGGGTGGGGTGGGGGGAAATAAGGCCTTTATATGAGTTTGTCTTTTAAAAAAAAGGAAAAAGGAGAAGGAAGGAAGAAGCTAATTTTTTTAAACAAAGGGAAATATGTAAGAGGTCTTGTTTAAGATAACCTGAAGGGGGGGGACAACCAATTTTTTTTAAACAAACAAAATGCAGGAATGCTCCGTTATTCCAAGCAAAGCACAAAAGGTTTTTTTTGGGGGGGGGGGTGAGGGTTGGGGAGAGCAGAAGCGGCATTAGAGCAGCAGGCATTTTCTCTTCCTCTTCTTGACTGGAGGGGGGCACAGGACGGCTCGGATGGCTTCGTCGAAGACTGTCTTGAGGCCCCGCTGTGTCAGCGCTGAGCATTCTAGGTATTTGACTGCCCCTGCAAAAAAAAGGAAAAACCAGCTGGCTAGAGGAATAACACGAAATCCCCAAATCCTAAAATTAAAAGCAGCAGCAGCAGTGGCATTCCTGGCAATAGGAGAACACGGAGACTACAATGTGCAGCCTCACAAAAGGATTTAAATACCACCGTGAAACGCTGGAGCCTTTGCTGCCGAGCAGCTGACTGGTGATTGGGTCGGCCTCCTGGAATACTGCCGATCAGCTGTTCTAGGCGGCAGGGATCACTGCCACCGCCGATGGCTGCTGATTGCCGCCATTTGGTGGCAGCGATCCCCGCCGCCTAGAGCAGCTGATCGGCAGTATTCCGGGAGGCAGATCGAGTCACCAGTCAGCTGCTTGGCAGTGAAGGCTCCAGTGTTCCCCGCCGGTGGCAGCAGCTCAGCTCTGTTGAGCAGTGGTGGGCGCAACGGAGCAGAGCCCTGACGAGCCGCGTGCTGGGGCTGCGATAACGTGAAGCTGACCAGGCTGTTTGCTGCAAGGAAGCTAGCCAAATGAATACCGGATGGATGCTGGGAGGCAGAAGCAGAGGCAGATTTCCCCCCCCCCCCATTTTCCTGCTCTAAAGCTAATGTGCGTCTTATGGTCCGATGCATCTTATGCGAAAAATACAGTATCTCATTTCTTCTGTCTACCAATCTTCTCTTTCTCTCATCTGTCTTCTATCAATCCATCTCATCTATCATTTATCTAATTTATCAAGCAAATTATCATACATTTTCCTCTTATTTATCAGCAGCAGCTGGATTGAGGGCAGACGCCACCTCTCTCCCTTGTTCTCTGCTTTCTACCTGTTTATCTTTCTTTTTTTGGTAATCATGTAAGTTGTATTTCTTGCTGTCCTCTTTTATTCTATTATTTTACTTCTGTTCACGCTCTTTTCATTTCTTTTTTATTGTTTGTAAGCCGCCTAGATTAACCCCATGGCGAGATAAGTGGCAAATAAATTTAACAAATACATAAATCTATCCATCATCTATTGCCCTATCTATCATTTTTTTCTCATCTATCTGTCTCATCTAACATGTATCTATTTATTTAACTCTGTATTTCATTTATCTATCATCTCAATTTTATCTTATTTCTTTAAAAGGTATGGACTCCCAACTCCCAAAATTCCTGGCTGGGGAATTGGAATTCTGGGAGTTGAAGTCTACACTTCTTAAAAGTTGCCAAGCTTGGAAAACGCTGCTCTACAGTCTCAATCCAAAGAGACTCTAAAAATAGCCCTCCAAATGGGCCAAAGACTTACCGATCTCCTTCGCCATGGCAAGGCCTTGTGGGTAGGTGATCGGCGTCAGCTTCTTCTCCTTCAGTTTTTCGATAGTGTCTTTGTCATCTCGGAGATCAAGTTTGGTTCCCACTAGGATGATGGGGGTATTGGGGCAGTGGTGTCGCACCTCTGGATACCACTGCAGAAAAAGGGGGGAAAAATATCAAATTGTTCTGCCTGGAAAATCAACACTCTCAAAACAGATACAAAGCCAACTTTCCCACCAATGAGCCAAACTCTTAAGGCTGTGATGGCAAACCTATGGCACTCGTGCCCAAAGTGGCAGATGAAGCCATGTCACCCGGCATGTACAGTCTTGTCTGTTTGTCTTCCGGGTTTCTGGCACGCATGCACACGCGATGATCAGCTGTCCTCCACGCGTGTGGCAGTGCTGAAAACTGGTGTGTGCAAGCATGCCAGCCAGCTGATCATCTGGCGCACATGCGCGCTAGAACCTGGAAGTTTAGCTTTTCCAGAGCGCGACCCAGATGAGCGTGTGTGACATTTCTGCGCAACCTTTTCAGCACTTAGTGCTGAAAAGGTTTGCCATCACTGTCTTAAGGCGTGTCTACTAACAGGGCACACCACTGCTTCAAAAAAAATAATAATAAACCCACACGTAAACAAAAGGAAACAGAACAACAAGCAGAGTTCAGAGCTGTATTTCACTATGAGCTTGACTGACTGTCCATGACAAGAAAAATAACTTTTGCCACTGGCTTTTACCTTTAATATTAAACAGTGTGGCAAGCAGGATACCGGTTCCATTCCCAAAACAATTTCCGACATTTATAAAAGCCACATTTTGCTATTCACTGAACTCCTTGGCTGATTCATTTTTCTGCTATTAATAGCCTAGGTCTCTCTTAAAAGGAGGGGAGGAGAAACAATAAAGATGTTTTTTACTCACCTTTGCACGGACATTTTCGAAGGATGCTGGGCTCACAAGGGAAAAGCAAATTAAGAACACATCCTGCAAAACAACATCAACAGAATCTCAGTCTCCAGGGGCTTTGATGAGGTTTTCACATAACCAAGCTCCACTGATGAGTTCTAATTACCAAGAAAGAGTAATTTTGGGCTGGCAGGATAGAATATGTCAAAATTATGCTTCTTTGGCATTCAAAATGGTATTAAATACTAGCAGACAAGAAATGCTACAAGAATGAAAGGACCCACCAAATGGGTGACTTAGTCCTTTACCCTTATTCCGCATGAGTTTCTGTCTTAAAAAGTTACTGATTCCTTCTCTACTGCACAGATTTTTATTCATTTATTTCCCACCTTTATTATTTTAATAACTCAAGGCAGCTAGCATAGCTAATGTTCCTCCTTCCTCCTCCTATTTTCCCCACAACGACATCCCTGTAAAGTGGGCTGGGCTGAGAGAGAGGCCCAAAGTCACCCAGCTGGCTTTCATGCCTAAGGCAGGACTAGAACTCACAGTCTCCTAGTGATTGGCCCAAAGTTACCCACCTGGCTTTCATACCTAAAGCAAGACTAGAACTCACAGTCTCCTAGTTTCTAGCCTGGTGCCTTCACCACTAAACCAAACTACATTTGGGCTGTACGCTGTATTAAATCACATTCAGTTAAGTCACCCTCACTTTGATGTTCTATAAAGTGTCAGCCACTAAGCCAATATACAACTTCAAGTTTTCTTTAACGCCACCTGCAACTTGAAAGGAAAATCATCTCCCAACATTTGCTCCAGGCGGTGATTAGCCCACCGTTCACAAACGCCATTTCTCAAACATCAAAAATCCCCCTAGGCCTACACCACGTCTTCCCCTGCACATCGACAGCTGGGCTGTTACCAATCAAGAAAACCCTCCGGCGTGTTAGTTGATTGAGCTGCAGCTCTAGGCCGACGGAGAGGTCAGCTCCTGAGGCCTTCCCAGTTAAGCATTTGCAAACATAATTAACCATGCATCCAGGTAAATGGGTGGAAAATTGGTGGAAAGCATGCATGCTCCCATAGGTCCCCACAGCACCTCTCGCTGGCCGGCTAGGTGGCTCCTGCCCAGACCATCTCCTTCCCATCATTCCCAGCCCCTTTGAAGGAAGTGGCTTTTGTAAAGGCTTGGATTTAACTGCTTGTTCAGGAACAATTACCTAGAGCGGGGGTGTCTAACCGTGGCAATTTTAAGATCTATGGATTCCCCCAGCCAGCAGAGTTGAAGTCCGCAGATCTTAAAGTGGCTAAAGATGGGAGGCCCCTGACTTAAAGAGTGGCCGGAAGGTGCCGGAGGAGAGGAAGCCAAGTTTTAGGGCTGCAGAAGCGGCAAAGAGGAAGACGCAGGGCACCGGAAAGCGCTTGGAACGTAATGGATGAAAGCGTTACATACGCAGAGTGGCTGCCGTTTCCCACTGGGACTTAAATCCTTACCATTCGTTCTTTCAACCTAGTGATAGCACGAGACAATTTGGGTTAATGTTAGGAGATGTTGGAAAAGACGCTCTTTGCGCATTGGAGGAAAGCGGGCGCGGCGTTCCCGGGATGAATTTACGGCTTCGGAATGGCAAGGGATCGGAACTTAGGACTGAAGTGGGCCACGGTTTTACTTTCAAACTCCTCTGGTTGTGGAAAACTAGACCAGAGAGGAACTGATTTGAGCCTCAACTTTTCTGCAGGGAAGACTTCCTACATGAATGGAGTATTTCCATGTGAGTGTTGCTGCTTTTCTCCCCCATCCCCCGGATAAATGTTTCTGTACTTAAGAATGTTCAAAAGTTTAAGTCCAAAGGGGAAGAGTTTAGAAGAAAACCATTAAAAAAATTGAACATTTAATGTGACTTGTATATTGTCCATTGGGCTTCTTTCTGGTAAACCCTGTGTGTGTGTGTGTGTGTGTGTGTGTGTGTGTGTGTACATATGCAAATGTGTGACCGTTTCTGGGGGGATTCCCTCCCCAAGTTTCTGAAATTTAATACAACTTTTACCAAACCTCTTTACAAAGAGATTATAAAACTTTCTAACAGCTGGAGGCACCTAAGATCCTTCTCCAGTAACATCTGGCTCAAGGTACCATCTTATCCTGAGGTTATGTGTTTCTGCGGGGAGAAGCTGAGATAACTAGTTATGCAATGTGGAGAGGGGCACCTTACAATATTAAAAGTGTGGTGAATGCAGACTGGATTCCTAAGAAGAGGGGTTGGCCTTCCAGAGAAGCAAGAGACAAAGCAGTTCAGATACTCAATATGTGAAAGAAAGAGTGTGAGAGAAAGACAACTCCTTAACTCCCCAGGGTATATGCTTGGTGTAACTCTGGCAATTTTAAGCCCTGTGGACTTCAATTCCCAGAATTCCCCAGCCAGCCAAATCCCATCTAAGATCTACGGCAATATATGCTGCTTTTGGTAGAGTTGCTTGTTTCGGTTGTTGCTGGCTGGGGAATTCCGGGAGTTGAAGTCCACAGGTCTTAAAAGTTGCCGAAGTTAGTCACTCCTGCTTCTTGGGATTGGTAGCAGGGACGTGGTGGCTCAGTGGCTAAGACGCTGAGCTTGTCGATCGAAAGGTCGGCAGTTCAACGGTTCGAATCCCTAGTGCCGCGGAACGGGGTGAGCTCCCAGCTTCTGCCAACCTAGCAGTTCAAAAGCAGGTAAAAAAATGCAAGTAGAAAAATAGGGACCACCTCTGGTGGGAAGGTCACAGCGTTCCGTGCGCCTTTGGCGTTGAGTCATGCCGGCCACATGACCACGGAGACGTCTTCGGACAGCGCTGGCTCTGAAACGGAGATGAGCACCGCCCTCTAGAGTCGGGAACGACTAGCACATACGTGCGAGGGGAACCTTTGCCTTTACTTTAGCAGGTTTTAGTCTGGCAAGATTCTGCTAAAAGGCGAGGCACAATATAAAGACGCTGGTTTAGCAGAATGACAATGTGTTTTTCTTGGTTTCTGGAGCCCAACACATTTTCAGTAATCTTAGAAAACAACTGTGGCTGGCAAGTTATTCAACTCTCCTTTGTTTTTGAGCCTATTAACAAAGGAAGACAGGAGAGGCACCACAATGGCTCCTGCGCGGTTTCCCCACTCCGCTACACTTCGGAGGTGTGCTTTCCCCCTCATTTGATTGCTGTCCCAGATAAATCCCATTTCTCTGGAACAAAGAAGTCTTTTTTTTCTCCTTTTCTGGCTGATTTTGTTGGAAGCAGCGAAGCCGTCAACAAAGGGCTCTGTCGAACTCGCTCTTCCGCAAAGCTAAAGCAGGTCACAAGAAACTTGACTTGTACGTGTAAAACGGTTAGTGAGCAAGCGAAGAAGAAGGAAAGAAATGTTCAGAGAACTGAACAGTTGAGCATTTTCACTGGAGGGGTGGAAAAGGGAGGGGGGGGGGGAAAATCAATTGAAGAGCCAGGAAAGGACCTCAGTCTCTTTGTGGGAAGTGTGTTAATTATTTTGGTGAGTTTTGAGAAGAATAAGCTTTGGGCAAAGCTATAAGGAGAAGCAGGAAGAAATACCTGGATCACAGGTGCACGGTTTGGCCCATTTTGACAGAGAAACAAAATATTGTGACTCATGCAAATCACATTAAATTCAGGGTATTTCTAGAACAGCTTCACTGAACATTGGAGGGCAAACCTTGATGGCCATAAAAGTGTTATATATGTGAGTGTCCTTTGTGTGTGTACGAATACATTTTGAGGCACAGGGTTAGCTTATCAATTGTTTGTGTGCGCTTTTGCTTTGGTTGAGAGTTTACAGGTGGGCAGTTCCCAAATTTGACGGATAAAATGAAAACGGTTCTTGAATTTATCTAATTGCCATCAAGTATTGGAAAAACATATTTTTCGCATAACAAGGACTCAGGGGTGGGCTTCAAAAATTTTAGCAAGGGGTTCTTTGCCCAATTGCTGGATGGGCTTGGCTATGGTGGGCGTGGCCTAGTTGGCCTCCTGCACAAGGGGGGCTCCGGAGGCTTTTCTCAAAAACCTTCCGGCCTTCTCGAACTTCTGTTAGACCCGTTTTTCGTCCTCCCTGAGCCTCCGCGCATGTCCTGCACTTACCTGCATCTAAAACAGGCTGCGTGGGGACTCCTAGGAGGGGTGGGGCAGGCCAGCCAGGAGTGGGATTTGGGGGTTCTCTGAACTGCACAGAATCTTAGCTAGAGGTTCTCCTGAACCCCTGCGAACCCCCAGCAGCCCACCCCCTGCAAGGACTCCCTTAACTTGCCATGGTGATGTGGGAAAACCCAAAACAACACTAGTTAGTTTCTCACTTTAAAAGACTTTTTTTTAAAAAAAGAACTATGCAGTAAAGAGACTTTTATGCTGTAAATCCCGCTAGTTTGAAAGCAAATAGATCAGGGGCCTCCAAGACCTGTGGACTTCAACTCCCAGAATTCCCCAGCCAGCATGCGCTGGCTGGGGAATTCTGGGAGTAGAAAGTCCACAAGTCTCCACATTGCCAAGTTTGGAGAACCCTAAAGTAGATAACTCCAGTTCCTCTTCCTCCTCCCTCTTAAATCCCAGAATGAAGAGATGGGAGCCAACAGGGCATCAATCTGCATCACACAAGTCAGCTGTCAATAAAACCTCGCTCGGAATGCTGCCGTTTAAAACAATTCAAGTCAGCTCATTTTAGTGTCATCCGGTAGAGATTACCTACCGGTAGAGAATGATTTGAACACAAGACTTATGGCTCGCATAGGGCAGGAAGGATTTACTAGAGGTGACATGGGAACTACGACGCCGGTTTGCAAGGGACTGTGGCAGTGAGTTAGTTCAGGGGCCCCCAGCCTCTGGGCCCTGAACTCGTACTGGGCCGTGGCCTGTTGGGAACCGGGCCGCACAAGCAACGGGCGAGTGAGCAAAGCTTTATCTGGCCATGTGGGGGAATCTAGGTTGCGCGTGAAATCATCCCCTCCGCCCCCAGGTCTCTGGAAAAAATTGTCTTCCACAAAACCGGTCCCTGGTGCCAGAAAGGTTGGGAGACCAATGGGTTAGTTCATTTTTACGTTAGAGCTAGAAGCTTCTCCGACTGCCAGCAAGCCTGTAAGAAGAAGAGGCGGCCGACTCTGCCAGCGTGTAAAGCTTACTGTTTGTGGGTAAGACAACGGGCGGAGTCTGTCGTAGTCTTCTTGTCCAGCGGTATCCCACAAGCCCAGATTTACCGGCTTCCCATCCACCATCACATTGGCAGAGTAGTTGTCAAATCTGCCAGGGAACATGAAACCATTAGCACCTTCTTACCCACGCTCGGACCATTCTGCTTGAAACAGAACGGTTTCTCCTTTAAATGATAAAACGAAAAGAAACCGTGACATCTTAAAAGATTAGTAATTTTATATTTTCAAAGTTGACTCTGGTCCGTGAAATCTTGTGTCTTTCAGACACTGAAGTCTTGTTCCCTTCTCCCCACAAGTTTTTTTTTAATTTCTCCAAAAACTGGCAATGTGCTTCTGTAATTCAACATTGTGATATTTCTGCGTTTTTTTTTTAAAAGTACTTTATTATAGTAACCTGCAATATTAATTTAAATGAATGCAAAATTATTTCAATATCTTAAAATAGTGCAAGTATTTCAGCGCACGGGGCCCACGGCACAGGAAACCTCTCCCAAATGAGTTATGTTAAAACAAATGATAACAATGTTGGATTTCAGTCAACAGATGCTGCTCAAGAATCCTCAGGCATTGCAAACTTCTGACATGCTTATTTTTTTTATTATTATTTTATAATTTATATATTTTTTGTGAACTACTCAGAGTCATGGGGAGTTAGGTGGGGAGCAAACTGAATAAATAAAATAAGTGCTAATTTTCCAGAGATGGAGAGCAATTGCAAAGATACTTATTCTGTAACCCAAAAAACATTTGTGACAAAAATACTACTTAAAAGCACAGCTCCTCTATTATAAAGCAACCCAATCAAGTCTCTTTATGATCTTTTTAACACTTAAAAAATGATCAAAAGAAAAATTAAGTACTCACACAGTTGGTATATATTCTCCAGGAAATGCATTGGTTGTGTAACTGATGAGTAGGCATGTTTTACCTACAGCACTGTGAAAGAGAAGGGGAAAAAAAATCACCATAAGAAATTATTCATGTGATGGAGATAACCAGGAAGCCATTCAGCAGAGAAAATTAGCTGTTTATGAGTACTTGAATTTAAACAAGATAAATCTAATCCTTTAACTGCTATATATTTATGATTTATTTCTGCCAAGTTAGATAAAGGATTCAAAGTCTTTAAAATTCATACTTGGCTGAACTCATACTTCAGATATACCTTCCTTACAGACTGCTAATTTGCAGACCGGACATGCTAGCTTTCCACAAACATGTCACAAACTGACACTCGATTTTGTGAATTTTCTGGAAAAACACAGATGGCCGTTATAGAGAACTGGATACTGGGTGGAGCTCTTAAATCTTTCTGCAATGTTCATTCAAAGTTCTGAAGCCAGAATTTGTCATCCCAGCTCTGGGTTATTAGACCATTTTAATTTTCTTAACCTAACTGGTGGACTGTGATTTCTGGGGTTTGCAAAGCCCGTGCAAGTCAGTTTTTAAAGCAGAATGTCTCGTTTTGAAAGAACAGTTACTTCCTGCAAGGCGCGTGTGGGCTCGAGTGACTTAGCTGTGCCGTTGCTGTGCATTTAAAGCTGTGAAACCTAAATTAATGGAACAAGTGGCATTTCGTGTGGCAGGGAGAAAAGAGCCTCACCACAGGGAGAAGCGTATCAGCACAGACTTAAGAAAAACACCCACAAGCACACAACAGTTTTAGGAGAATGGAGGTTTCTGGAGCTTTTCACTTTTCAAGCCAGAGAGGAGTGAATTCAAGTAGGGTCTCATGAATTGGTTCAGTTCTCGGGGTAGCGAAAGAAGAAACAATGGAAAGAGAACACTTGGGCTATTTTCATCAACCAATCCTACAGAGGCCGGGCCAAAGTCCTCTTGAATGCACTGTGAACGCACCAGAGCCCTAATTGTACCACTCGGCGTGGACTTTCGAATGACATCATTGTTTTAAAGTAATGGATTGACACAAGTTTCCTTTTTTAAAATTATTTTTTTCCTCAGCTAAAATGAGAGAAAAGCACGCCTAGGAATTCAAACCCGAGATCTCTGATATAGGAACTGATTGCACTAAAATGAGTTCTTTTCTGTAATTGCATCCATTGCTTTCCTCTCCTAATAAAAATTGGATTTTTCAGCTGTCCTGGAGAAAAAAAAATACCCATTTCCACATCCAGATAATGTCACTCCCCCCCCACCTTTTTTTTTTTTTTTTGGCTATGGGTGGAAATTCTTAATTCATTCTGGCATGACTACAAGGCAGCCAGGAGTTTTACTTCAAAATCAAAAAAACCCAAAAATTGCTAGAAGCTTTGAAAGTGTATGATGGGGGGGGGAGGGAGGAGGAGGATAGCTGGGAGGGGGTGTCTTAAGCAGAACAATAAAAGGTACATATATCTCCTTCTGATATTTAGTTGCAGAAGAGATTATTTGTAGCTGGGGGTTGAAAACTGTCCTTGGTGCTCTCTGAGGTTGTTTTCTTGCAGACGTTTCATTACCCAACTAGGTAACATCATCAGTGCGAGAGGTAAATCGGGTTTGCAATTTTTTTTATCCTAACATTGATGATGCTACCTACCGTAATTGGGAAACGTCTGCAAGAAAACAACCTCAGAGAGCATCAAGGACCCCATAAAGTGTACCGGACTATATAGAATTCGAATTAGAATTTTTTATTGGCAAGTCTGACTGGACACACAAGGAATTTGTCTTGGTGCATACGCTCTCAGTGTACATAAAAGAAAAGATATATTGCAGGTTTCACTAGTGTCTAATGAATGTGGATTTCCTTCTGTAGCTTTTAGCTGGAGGACCTGTTCTTCTTGCCTTGGTTTTAAGATGCTACCTCTTGCTCTGAGATTATTACACTTTTACTCATAATACCAAAATCAGCAATATCATCAGTAAATAAATGCAGATTCTTTTCTCCTTCAACCTCTTAACATTTTTTGAGTAGTTAATCGGTCTCAAGATTTCCTACAAGTATAATAACCGGGCCTTTGAAGCCTCCTCAGTGGTCGTGCAGCACAGGTCCAGGAAGAGAAAGAAATACCCACAAGAACAAAGGCATTTGTTTTAATTCGAAATATCCCGTCTTCTAAACTTGCCGGCTTTCAGCCTGATGAGTCAGCGCTGTACTCTGGCTCCAAGATGAAAAGTTTGATTTACCTAAAGATTCTGTCATCATCCTCCGGTTCAAGTAAACAGGCGGCTTCTTAGGGAAGCCAAGTTTATTTCAGAGAAAAAATGATGCTGGATGCGTTAACTAGTCCAAGCCCCAAGCCAGAAAAATGCAAGAATACAGAATACTGGCTTGTTTAATCCTGCAGAGGTTTTTTTTTTGCCCTGATCTGGAGCTTGGGGGGAAAAAACAGGCTGATTCTGGAATTTCCACAGCCCTTATTTATCGATCTATTTTCCTGGGGACAGAAAATCGCATCGCGCCCCTTCAGAAAACAGGCACCCGTTGCTTACTTCAACAATTCACATTCTAGGCCGGCTGTGCCTAACCTAATTCCCGTCGATATGCACGGGAGCTGAATTCTCATCATCCACAGCCATTTCAGCCAATGGTTAGGCTAGCTGGAAGTTAATGGGAGCTGCAATCAGCACAAATGGATGGTGCTAATCTGGGAGCGAATGTTCTGGGTTCCACATTGTCTAAAGATGTGCGCTGGGATACCGCATCAGCTCATGAACCACAATAAAAAGCTGACTGCAGCTCGCACATTTGCACAGGAGACAGTGGAGGCTCAAAAAAGGAAGGGAAAAACAAACAAACTCGGGACTGAACAAGCCATGGAGGGCTATGGGTAGTCCTCGACTTACAACCGTTCAAAGTTACAATGGCACTGAAATAAAAGGGGACTTAGAACCGTTTTTCACACTCAAGACCATTGCAGGGTCACGTGATCAAAATTCAGATGCTTGGCAACTGGCTCATAGTTATGACGGTGGCAGCGTCCCCGGGGGGTGGGGGGGAATCCCCTTTTGCCACCCTTTGACGAGCAAAATCAATAGGGAAGCCAGATTCGCTTAACGACTGGGTACGTAACTCATCAACTGCAGTGATTCACTTAACAAATGGAGGCAAGGGTGGTCGGAAAATGGGGCACAACTCACTTAACAAGTGTCTCAACCTGACGACAGAAATTCTGGGCTCAATTGTGGTCGTAAGCCGAGGACTACCTGTATTCACTTCGTTCCCCCCAACCTTGTAGTCACAGTGAGGGCATTCTTAAACCCCAGCAGGACGAGCAGCAGCTAATCAGCAAAGCAGAGTTAATGATACACCGCTGGCCAGTGTGATTTTCTGATTTTCCCCTTGCAGGACAGCTAAGAAAATTCCCCTCTTTTGTGTTTGCACCCAGGGTTTTATTTCTGAGATGGGGGAGGAAGAGAGAGAACAGGAAAGGCCGGTCATATATCAAAAACCTCATTTCCTGGAGTAGGAGAGCACGTCAGCTTCTCAGCAAACACAAGAATCACAGGAGGGAGTGGATGCTGTATAAATCAGCTTTAAATTACCACTGCTCATCGGCCTAAAAGTTGTGGGAAACTTTTTAAAGTCATTGTCTTGGAGCAATCTGGGGGAAGAGAGGAGGTCTCCGCTGTTGTGAGGGGCTGGGAGACAAACATGAGGAGGGTGTCATAAAAGCTGCTCCTGGCACATCTGGTTCCAATCGATGCAGGGAAAGGAAGCAAAAGGGCGTCTCTAAGTAAATAGTTGGGTGTTCTTTCCATTATCATTTTTCCTGTTTCACCTATTAGGTCATGATGCCAAGAAGAAGAAGAAGGACATGGCGGGCCCAGAGCCTCGATTTCTGATTTTGGCAATACTTTACACAAAGCTTTAGAGAGAGTCAGGAATTACCCAAGCAACATCTAGTTCGTCTTTTTTAATTTCTCAGAACAGAGTCCACAGCTGTCCTTTGCAATGGTGGAAGGCAGGGAATCCACAAGGCAGCGTTTCCCAACCTTGGCAATGTCCAAGCATATGGACTTCAAATCCCAAATTCCACAGTCTGCAGAGCCGTTGCTGAGAATTCTGGGAGCTGAAGCTGAACCTTGAATTTGCCATGGTTGTTCGGAAGCATTACGTTAAGAGTGTTTTTAGATTCCTCAAATTCCACCATTGATCTATCTACATGCTGAGCTAATCCTCCTTAAAGAATACTAGAATTTGGGGGGATAATTTATATTCCACATTATCAAACCCCAAATACTTTTAAATTGTATTCAGTTTACTGGGTGTGCTGTTGATTGGTATACTGAATAGCCGAACATGAGCAAAACCAAAAATGCTAACAACCAGAAACAGATGGCATTAGAAACAATGACTCCTGCTATTGCAAAACCTGCTTATTGGTCATAAAATCTGTGAATTGCAAGGTTTAAGTCTGATAAGGAAGTTTTTATTTTATCCCAGTTTCATTCATAAAGCAAGATTGTTCAAACCGTCCCAAACTCTTCAAGTTACACATTATAATCAGCAAATATATTATGGTATAAAATAATGCATAAACACTAAAGTAATAATACACAATAATTGTTTAGCGATGCATTTCCCCTGGGAAACAAAAGCCGCACAGTCCAAAGAACTAAATTTTGGGCACCGCTTTCTCCCATGATTAACTGCAGCAAATTTAACAAAGAAAATATCTGGTAAATCCTTCTCCACTCTCAAGCCAAATCAAGAGTCAATAAAGGCAGGGCTAGAAAAATATTTTAAATATTTGAGAACTAGAATCATAGCTACGATGCTATCCAGAGCTATTTTTTTAAAAAAACTTAAATTTTAGGCATCATTATTTCATTTTAGAGGTGTGGATACCCAGCCATCTGGAGGATTTTTGAAAGTCATCTGGATCCCTCTGGAAAAAATTTTTTAAAAACCAAAAACTTCTGCTTTCCAAAATTCTGAAATGAAGAAATTAAAAACTAAGCCACATTTTCAATGCCTGAATGGCACCATTTCCTCATTCTCAAAGGTAAGTGGCTACTGAAATTTAGGCAGATTGTGGATAAGGTTTCAGGGAAATTTCAGAGTTCAAAATAAATAAAGGCTTGACTCACTATGTTAATATTTAGGTTGTGCATAACTACCTCTGTAAAATAGAACATCCACAACTAATCTCACCATGATCCCCCTTAATAAAAAGGAGTGTTCATCTTACTACAGTTCATTTCTTCCTATTTTCAAACTGATTCATCTCAAAAGGCTCCATGCAGGAAGCACAACTTCTCCAAAAATATTTTGGGCACGGGCCAGTTGCTCAAAAGGTCTAGCTTCTTTTTAAAGATAGCTAAAAATAGTCTTAAAATAACTCCAGACTTGGGGGCGGGGGGGAAGAAATGTTTCTTTTGTTAACCACAAAACAAAGCAAAGTTTCGTATTCTTGGGGTACTACCGAAGAAAGGCAAAAAACAAAACAAAACACAGCACAGCACAGCACACAATAGCAGTCACTAAAATGTTGAGACTTCACCCCAAGGATTAGGGATTCTGCCCAAGAGACACTTCAATGAAATCTACACAACTCCACTGTTTAAGCATTCCAAAGCCTCAGCTGCTTTGATAACTTTTCAGGGGGAAAAAAAATCTACCCGTCTTTACAAAAGCCAACTATCCTTATATCTCGGGACATTTACACTGTGTCCACGTAAACTCTGGGATTGCCATAGGAAAAAAAAAAAGCTATTTTTAAAGAAACAACTGTAGAACAGGTCTCTGTTTTCCCATCTTAACTCATTCCCAGCTTAGAGAACAAAGAAAGCAAGCCAGGAATCTATTGAGAAACTGCCCCACAGGAAAAGACAAAGGTTTAACCCTTATCTTACGATTCAAGGAGTGCCTTAGGCTTCACTTATTAAAATTGGCTTGATCAGGACAATTGAAATGTACTCATATGATGCCTAAGGAAACCATAAATCAGGATCAGGGGAAGGAAGAGAAAAGAATAATAGGCAGTCCTTGACTTATGACCACAATTGAGCCCCCCCCCCTTTTTTTTGTTGCCGACTGAGATAATTGTTAAGGGAGTTTTGCCCCATTTTACGACCTTTCTCGTTAAGTGAATCACTACAGTTCCTTAAACTAGTAACACGGTGGTTAAGTGACTCTGGTTTCCCCCCAATTGACTTTGCTTGTCAGGTGGTCACAAAAGGGGATCACGTGATTCTGGAGCATGACAACGGTCATAAATGTGAGTCTGTTGTCAAACGTCCGGATGTAAATCACATGACCATGGGGATGCTGCAACAGTCATCAGCGTGAAAAGGGTCGTAACCAGGGCCGGATTTAGATGAAGAGGCCCTAGGCTATTCCACTTATGAGGCCCTTTCACCTATAGTGAAAGTGTAATTTTAATTTTGCTAACATTTGAATGTAGGCCCCTCTTGATCTTGAGGCCCTAGGCTGAAGCCTAGTTAGCCTATAGGAAAATCCGGCCCTGGTCGTAACTCACTTTTTTTCAGTGCCTTTGTAACTTTGAACAGTCACTAAGCGAGCTGTAAGTCGAGGGCTACCTGTAATGCTTCAAATGTAGCCAAACCTGAACACAATGCATGCTTATTGCACTTGGGAATCAGCCCCACTGAAAACACACTTATCCGGCAGACAAGTCTACCTAGTTTAACAAAGCTTTATGTAGTCTAGGTAGACTTGCCCCGGGGTATTTAGTAACTCAGAGAGAAGTCCCAGCTCCCAGGAACAAATTGCAGAGATATCTGGGCTGCAATCTTGCATAGATGACGGAACAAGCTTCAATTAATCGGGTAGTAATGAGACAGGATTTGGAGCCGGGAGACTTAAAGCAGTCAAACTTATCCTAACTCTCCTAACCTAGCCTTCCTAACTTGGCACTGTGAGCTGGGCTGGCCTGCAGTCCCCCACCGGCCCCACCCAGCGCAATTTTATTATATCTCATTATTGTAAATTAAATGCCGAAAATTGTAATCCAACCCGAACAAAGAACACCCCATTGGAGAAGGCTGCCAAAAAAAAAAAAAAAAAAAGAGCAGACAATTAAAGAAACATAAGAAGTTCTACATTTCTGGCATTTCTTGTAGCTAAAGGTTTAATTTATAAAAAAAAAAGAGAGAGAAAGGAATGGAAACTCAAGCAAAAGGATACCTTCACAAGCTAATGGAAACCCCACAAAAATTGGGGATGGAGAAGATCAAAGCACAGCCAGTGAAATAAAATTATCCAGAGTTCTTGAGAATCACGGGACACACCCCTTCAATAAAGACATCCCTTTTAAATCCATTTCCAAATCTTCCTGGCAGATATGTCCATACGTTCCCCTGCCCATCTGGCAATTTTCTTTACCTTCTTTCTCCCTCCTCCCAAAATTGCTTCTCCCACCCCTCAAAAAAGCTAACTGGTCTTTCTTGATTTTTTTCCCCTCTGAAAACGTATTCCTTCTCATCCAAGAAGCTTCTTCAGTTCAGTTCAGCAGAACAAGAAGAAGCTTCTTGGATGAAGATTTCTTTATTTCAAAAGAAATTAAAAAAAAAAAAAAGAAACCAAGAAAGCCCAGTTACCTTTTGGAAGAAGAGAAGAGAAGAGAAGAGAAGAGAAGAGAAGAGAAGAGAAGAGAAGAGAAGAGAAGAGAAGAGAA